GTCCCATTATGTGGAGAAGATCTTGAATCGCTTTGGCTACATTGATAGTAAGCCTTCTCCAACACCTTATGATCCTAGCTTGTTGCTTCGCAAGAACAAGAGAATTGCTAGGAATCAACTGGAATACTCCCAAATCATTGGCTCGCTGATGTACCTGGCTAGTGCAACTAGGCCTGATATCTCCTTTGCTGTGAGCAAGTTGAGCCGGTTTACCTCTAATCCGGGAGATGATCACTGGCGTACGCTTGAGCGAGTAATGTGCTATCTGAAAGGTACTATGGAATTGGGGCTTCACTATTCTGGGTATTCTGCGGTACTGGAAGGATATAGTGATTCTAATTGGATCCTTGATGTGGATGAGATCAAAGCCACTAGTGGATATGTCTTCACACTAGGTGGTGGTGCCGTTTCGTGGAGGTCTTGCAAACAGACCATTTTGACGAGGTCAACCATGGAAGCAGAGTTGACGGCACTAGATACTGCTACTGTTGAGGCAGAATGGCTGCGTGATCTATTAATGGATCTCCCTATTGTTGAAAAACCGGTGCCGGCTATCCTTATGAATTGTGACAATCAAACGGTAATTGTCAAAGTAAATAGTTCTAAGGATAATATGAAATCGTCTAGACATGTGAAAAGACGATTGAAGTCTGTCAGGAAATTGAGAAACTCCGGAGTTATAACATTGGATTACATCCAAACAACTAGAAACCTGGCAGATCCCTTCACGAAGGGACTATCACGAAATGTGATAGACAATGCATCGAAGGAGATGGGTTTGAGACCCATGTGAGTTATACTATGGTGGTAACCCAGTCTATGTGATCGGAGATCCCGTGAATTAGAACCTGGGAAGAACAAACTATTAGTAAACTAGAGGAGAGTACCAATAAATACCCTCTCTAAGTGAAGATGCATGTACTCTCGTGAGCTGCAAGGCAGGTTGGCTATGCCTTAATGAGTTTTGTTGGCTTTAATTAGCGAAGATGCTATCCTGCAGAGCATTCTTGAAAGAACTCACCTTTGTGAGCTTGACTGTTGGTCGCAGTCTATGGATATTTTGGGTGAATCTTCTAGGAAGCTTACTAAAGACCACCCGAGTATGACTTATACGCTCCACCCGAGGGGTAGTCTACAGACGGTCTAGTACCAGATAAGACTCTGAGTGAAACTTGCTTGCACAAGACTTGCAATTCAAGGCGTAGCCAATTGTTCAAGTTGTGAGTAAGTGTAGCTTGGAGTTCTAGGTGGATGTTCAACCTTAATCGGTCTCCATCGAACCGCTGGTATATAAACAGTACATTGGGAAAGGCAAATCTCAGTGGGATTTTGAGATTTGGTGGGGGATTGTTGGAATTAATAGATGGGCTAAGGCCCATTCGAAGATTAATTCTTTGGAAAATCACAAAAACCCACCACATGGGATGGCATGCATATGGAGTTTACTACCACCTTGCTTATTCTAGGAGAGGGGGACCTCCTTAAAAGGGAGGATGCCCTCCTAGCCACTTGAAGCATGTGTGGTGGAGATAAGAGGGGGGAACACACGCGCGCGCTCGCTCGCCTTGCCTGGCAGGGCAGGGCAGGGCAGGCGGCGCGCGCGCACGACGTACGCGTCGAATGGTCCGCAAAATTGGCTCCTCACCCTTGCGCAGATGCAGCCTCCTTTTGCAGTTTTGTTTTGCTGCAGGAAAATTCGGATTTGTTTTGTTTTGGAAACATTCCGAAAAATCCGGTGCGTGAAAACGGCGTGGAGTCCGGATAAGTTACGTGCGACTTATCCGGTTCAATTACGCGGAGTGGAGATCGTGCGGGCGCCCTGATCAAGCGACCTATCTCTATATAAACCGAGCCGCCGCCTTCACACAACACGACACGAAATAAATCTAGGGTTTGCCTCCTCCTCTGTGCTGCGCCATCGCTCGTAGACTACTCCATCCCGCTCGCAGGCGTGCACCTGCGATCGGGAGAGCAGGTCTCCGGAACCTCTGCCTTCGACGCCCCGCACTGGGAGAAGGCAGCAATAAGGTTTTTGGGAAACACTTCACGCGACTGCTCCCTATTCGTCCGGGACGGCTCGCCTTCCTCTCCGCTCGCGTGCTGCGCGCCTTCGTCAACGCCCGCAACCGCGAGTAGTTCCTGTCGAGCAACCGGTCTTTCCGCCACCTCGGTACGTGTTCGACATGTTGCGCATATTTGATCTGTTCATGTTTTACTGCTTAGTTTACATGTATAGATCTAATGATACGTTCAATCTAGTTTACATCTGCAATGTCATGATTTATTTATGGAATAAATTAAATCATTATGTGCTTATAACTTCAACATAATTTATGGACAAAATTTCTATATGTTTGTTGTGGGACTACCTATTGCTTTTTCGACAGATTTGGAGCTTTAAATCTTACTGAAATTTCAGCCAATTGAGCTCGTTGATGTCTTGTTTTAAGAAGGTTTACTAAACGAATTAAGATCATCTACAATATTACACAACTGTTCACTAACATGTGGACTCGAGGATTGTGAAGCCCATCACGTCTCAGCGAGTAATACTACACATACATAACTACAGAGGACCTGCATCCTTACTAAACTCGGAATCAACAGCCCTAGTCAAGAGCCTGAGGTGATGATAACGGGCGGGTAGGTGGAGGGTAAAGTGGAAAATAAGGTTTAATGAGTACAGTATAGGCTGAGTTCGTTCGTTCACTTTCCCAACTCTCATCTATCTCGTTTTTCACGCGCACGCTTTTTAAACTACTAAATGGTGTGCTTTTTTAAAAGGTTTCGGTATGAAAGTTGCTTTTAAAAAAAATCATATTTATCTATTTTTTAGAAAAAACAAATAGCTAATACTTAAGTAACTATGCGCTAATAGGTTACTTAAATATAACATCAAATGAACACGTCTTTTTGTCAACTCTATCAAATATCGGCCATCCCTTTAGTTTATCAGCCGTTAAATAAATTTTCAGATGAAAATGAATTGCACACACTTTTCAGTTTCAGATGAGTTGGGTAGCTAGTCAGTGCATACGGCTGAGAATGAATTGCGCACTTTCATGACCCGACAGAAGTGATGGCCTATGAATGAGTGAGGAGTGGCAGAAAGCCTGCCCAGGTAGCAATGCAATGATTTCCCAAGAGAAGATAGCGTGAGCCTTTCATTATTGCTCGGCAACTCGGCCAATGCGGAGCTAGTGTACGGAGAAACAATCCAATAAAACCATGTCTCTATTTGTACCAAGTTTAAAGCGTTTAACTATAAAATTAACTGCTTTTGAAAAAAATAATTATGTCTATACAAATATACTATGTAAGACCGTTAAAAATAGATAAAGTAAAGTGGTGCATAGTTATGACTGGCTGATATGATAAAATATAGATATATTTTAGGATGATTTATCAATCTGGCCTAGGTGGGGTTGGCCGAGGCTCAACAAATTAAGGTTGCCCGGACCCCAACAGTTCATAGGCACACCCACTCGGGGAGAAGGCCCAATCACCCTAAAAGACTAGTCCAATAGGGGAAGGGTGGCTCTCCCTTTTAAGGTGGCTTTCTCCTCCCAAGCTAAGTAAGGTGGGATTATTCACAGGCTCACACGGTCGCCGCCCGACTTTTACGTCTTTGCCAGCGGGTAATAGTGGAGGATGTACTCATCAATGATTTTCAGTTCTAAAGGTAGCTAAATTTGGGATGGTAGGTATTAGGTGACTGAAATACCAAGAAATTTCGGTTAGCGAGAATCTAACGGCCGGAGCATCTTCTTCAACCTTTATATGATGAGGGGATGGAAGGAGAAGATAGGAAGGGAGGTGGCAGGTGACACACTAGCAATGACGACTATACAAGCACCATATTTCTTCGTTACCGACAAGTTCTCCGTCTTCTTTGGTGACAAAACGATCTTAGATTTATGGAATCAAGACCAAATAAGATTTTCGGGTTACGGATAGATGAGGATGGTAGGTAGGGAACGACGAGGGTGGCTATAGAGGGGCAGGGGTGACAGTCGATCTACGAGGGCTATGGAATGGGTGGGTGGCGAGACGGTGGTGTCGGTGCCACCGGAGCCACAGGGTTAGTGGAGGGCGGAGGGCAGGGTTGCAAACTGAGGCTTGAGATACAAAGTGATTATTAGGAGGGGGTGGCAGGGGAGCCTTTGAGAGGGAAGGGGGACGCTGGTTCTGGGGGGTCTCACTGGCACCGAAGACTATCGACGAGGAGATGAGTGGTGCATGAGGCAGTGGAGGAGCACCACGACGAGCAACAGAAGCACATCGGGCGCCGGCTAGGTGAAGAGAAACTCATGAGGGGTGATCTGGATCGTCTAAAAGTTACTGAAGTTTGTAGAAGTGCCTTGAATAAATAGACAATCCTTTTTAATAATATTCCCATTAGAGCTTCCTATTTTACCGTGGTTACATATGGGAGGTTTTGTTCCATCACTGGTTTTTCCTTTGTCTGTACAATATTTATTGGTTGTGTATATTTATGATGCAGAGAATGTATATATATGTTTTATTCCTTTATCTCTACTACTATAAAAGAAGTTTCCACCTATTCCACATCAGATAAAAGCTGGTCACAAAACTGAAAGAAAAAATAAACGGAAAGAGAAAAAGTTTCCTAGATCCCATTGCAAAATATGGGCATATGGCTAGTTAATTTTTTTAAAAAAACACGCTACCAAAGGACCATTGGCTTTGGTGTACGTCTTTGGCATAATTTTATATCAAACTTCTGAAAATATGTTTATATAAGATAAAAGTTAGCTAGTCTAGCTCGACCTAGCTTGTTTATACACATAGAAGTTTTGCATGTATTTTTAAATCGTGGAAGGAGCATATGGTACAAATAAGTTTTTTAAACTACAAAAAGTCATTTTGAATTAGTTTTGTCCCCTCACTTACATTTTGACCTACTTAAGCAAAAGGACCCCCAACATAATTATTATAAGAAGTCGCTCAAAGTGTCCAGAAGAGGTCAGCTATATATATAGGGTGAGTGAACCATATATAGCAATGGAATATTTAGCTCAATCAAGTGACTAGCAATCTTACAACTTATAAAATACATACATTAAATATTTCAGCTTCTTCTATTAGCAAAGTCTTCTGATATACAAGACCCTTGAGAATCACACATGTAGTACTGCTCTCCATGACTCTAACCTTGTCAACAACATTTTTTTTTGGCAGAACATGGGAGAAAAGCTAGCTCAGGAGGGATAGAAGGAAGAAATGGATGTGAGCGTGGAGGATGCAGCTGAACATTGGAAATGGGAAAGGAAGGTTTGGGATGGCGAGAATACAAGGGCCAAGAAGTGTGGCAAGGAGATGGTAGAAATTGACAACTCTTGCAAGGTCAGGGAGAAGCCTTGCAAGGTCAAGAACGTTCCAAAGTACTCGGAACAAAATGTTCTAGCACTCAAGAACGTCTAGCATTTGATTACCTGAAGATAGGGATAGTATGACAGATAAAAAAAAGCTCAATCGGGATAGCACCATTCATGAACTAGGAAGGCTTCCAAATGCTAGCATGATGTGACGCTTTGGTTGCACAGATGCCCATGGGAAAGTCGAATGCTACTTCATCATCAAACCAGATCGCCTCAAACATGACGGCAACTGCGTCTTTGCCTTTTCGCTGCAAAGTGCACGAGCGAACCAAAAGATTAATTAGGCAACACAAAAGAAAGCTGTAGAATACAAATTTCATCGCCTTTGAATAGTACAACTTACATATTTGTTGCCGTTGTAGCAAAATCTATCATCTTTGTCCTCCATTAGCTTCCACGAAGCTGAAACAAGACCAACTGAAGGACATCTAAGATGATCATCGTCTATTACCTTTAGAATCCGAAAGGAGAGGAGAGAATATGGGGGAAAGGGAAAGCAAAAGAAATGGCATGGAAAGCACCAGAGACTGAAGAGAAGATGCATACAGAAGATATCCAACATCAACTAGCTAGCTATACATAGAGGTTATTACCTGCAGTAGAAGAGGATGCAAAAGCAACCAGCAGCACTAGGACTGCATTGGGTAAATTCAAGATCGAGGAAGGGGAAGGGTGTTGTGAGGAGGGTTGGTGGAAAGCAGCTCGGTAGGTGAAGGTTTTTTGTGCACTTGGATTGTCACCGTTTCAGATCAGCTGGCGCGTATATATACTCCCTGGTTCCAAAAATAAATCATTCCCCAGATTTTAAGTGTGTTCTATGTAGCGGTTAACATTACTTCCTCCATTTCACTCCATTTCACAATATAAGTCATTCTGGCATTTCCCATATTTATATTGATGTTAACGAATCTAGATAGATTTAACATCAATATGAATATGGGAAATGTTAGAATGACTTACATTATGAAACGAAGGGAGTATCTAGTTATCTGTACGAAAAACGAGATAAGTCCAACTATTGTAAGCATCTCACCATAGTGTGCAAGAGGTTTGTTAAAATAATCCGCATCAGCCTTGTGATCCTTCATGAAACAAAAGTTAATGTATAAGCAAATGCAATAAAAAGTTATAAAAATAAAGCAAAGAACCCAGAAAATAAGACATATACCTCAATATAACCATTATAGTGCTCATCATCGAGAGTAATAATGAAGTTTTTCTCATCCCAACGAGCAGCACTCACTTTTCTAAGCCTATTTATCTTCGAGAACTTTCTTTGCCATGTCTTCAAATGGTTCTTAATTTGCTCACCCGTGAGAGTACTATTGAACCTTTCATCGACCGCCTTAGCACATGCATTGAGATGGACTGCCTTGAAACCAGATGAGGTCCTTATGCCACCAGCAACAACATTAGCTAGGTGAGAAAGCATGAAAGAGGACATAGCTGAGGTCCATGAAGCATGGGTGCTTCTTCCCTTGCCACTGTTGTTGTCCATTTCCTACCTATCATAAAATGAAACAAAAATGTCCATTCAGTAATATATATATATATATCAATAAAATATGCATGCAACAATATATGAACTTAGAAAATAACCATTCAGTAATATATCTAATAAAAAAATCAGAATTCAGCAACATATCAACCCAAAAAATTACCATTCAGCAACATATTAACCCAGAAAATGACCATTCAGCAACATATCAACCCAAAAAATTACCATTCACCAACATATCAATCGGGAATATGAGCATTCATCAATATATCAACCCAAAAAATGACCATTCAGTAACATATCAACCCAAAAAATTACCATTCACCAACATATCAATTGGGAATATGAGCATTCAGCAATATATCAACCCAAAAAATTACCATTCACCAACATATCAACCCAGAAAATGACCATTCAGCAATATATCAACCCAAAAAATTACCATTCACCAACATATCAACCCAGAATATTAGCATCTAGCAACATATTAACCCAGAAATTCAACATTCATCAATTCATCAAACCAGAAATTCAGCATACAACAATACATTTATCCATACAACTGAGATTTGGCAAATGGACTACAACAAGCTGTCCACACGAAATAAATAAATAAAGAAGTTCATAATACAAATGAAATGTAGCAAATAAGTCATTAGCATGTGAATAATTAAGTATTATCTATTATAAATTTTAAAATTGGATTCATTTGATTTTTTTTACAAAAATTTCTACGTATAAAGTTTTAGTATGAAATACACCATTTAGTAGTTTAGAAAACGTGTTCATGTTAAATGAGGGATTAACTAGCTCAAATTAGAATGCAGCCTAAACTTGTCCAAACTTTTTTCTTAGTTTTATCGACGAATCGATAGTTTTTAACCTTACAATACCATTTACCTATCCACACACCAATACTAGAATTTATCTACTAATAAGCACCACAGTCTATTTTTCTCACCACTAAATTCGTCTCGGGATGAAGGGTTGGGTTTATTCTGAGAAATATACTGTATCGGTCATAGAAAAAGATAGTCTCTAGCTATATGTCCAAAATCTATGGCTAGATTTTATTTTATTTTTTTTTACAGACGGAGTAGATTTCAGTTCTGATTGCTGAAGCTGTGTCAAGCTACTTGTGCCGCGCCGCTCTACATTGACAGGTGGACTGCATAAACAGATGAGGATGCTACGTGGAGCTAGAATGTTCATTTGGATTTGGGGTTCATGCCATCCATCCACGGTATTTGAAGTAGGTTAAAGGTTTGAAAAGTTTTCGGAAGTGTTTTTGAAAATGGAAAATGTTGGTCAGAATTTTTTCAGAAAAGTTTGGAAGCAGAAACAAATTAATTCGAAATTTTCTCTTCAAACAGAAATGAATATGGTAAAGCTACTATCCGTCAGAAACCAAATCGAGCGGAAACTTTCCGGAAACAAATTCAAAAACTTTGCGGAAATGAATACCCATTTTTTCCTTGGAATCGAAAACTCATTACTTTTCATATAAAGTTGATTAGCTTCAGCCTTCTTCTACTCTAGATATTCAGATTTGTAATGAGTATTTGAGGTTGATTGTTGAATGGGGACATTTTTTTTAATCCGATGCTTTAATTTAGATATGTTTTTCTTTTGCCTAATGACTATATTAGGCCATGTCATATTACTTACAAATATAGATGAATGCATTTATTGCATACTGTAGTTATCTTGAAAAGTAAAATGTACAACTAGTTATATTATTATTAATTGATAAAAAATAGAAATATTGATTTATTGTTTTAAAAAATACAATGAGTTACATCTCTTCGTTAATTTGAGAAGCCCTGTTAGAGTTGTTTTCATATCTTCATAAATATATATTGTCGTATTCGCTAGGCATTTGTAGTCAATAAAGTTAGATTCCGTTTTTGCATTAGGGATTCCGATTTCATCTTTGATTCCGTAAAAACTATGAAAACGGAAATGATAGAGCTAATTCATGTCTGTTTTCATCATGTACAAGTTATTTGCCCATTTTGGAGAGGGAGACCCATTTAGTCTGACTTGGTTGTATCTCCCTAATTTCAAAGGTGAAATAACCATGTGGGAAGCACAGTACATAAATTAGAATACGTGCATCAAAATATTTGGTTTTCCCATCTGCCAACATTTTGGAGATACTCCCTGTTTCACAAGAACAAAAAACATTTTGGAGATACCGTGCCGTCCATTAAATTACCAAAAGTTGGTCCTATCATCATCACGCAATGTCTCCTCGTAGCACAAGCCTGAGCGACCTGATAAAACACGAAAATCAAGGCTTGAATTCCTTAAAAAAAAACAAGGCCTGAAGAGTTTAGATTCATCCTGACGCTGTTTGTTTTTTTCTTCACATTTTATACTGAGATTATCATGGATAAATCGGCCTATATTCCACTAGACAATGATCCGTATCAAGCATTTTCAAACTGCCATCAATTTCTGGCTCACAATCAGCCGATTTGTCTTGGGCCTAATTTCCCAACATGAGCCCGGCCCGGCCCGGCCCGCACGGCCCGATAAATGCCCAATAGGGAGTACTACTTCAACAAGGTATTGGCCCTCTCAAGCCCAATAACCCGCAAATGTCTCAGAAGCACGCGACCACCCTCATCAGCTCCCTGTGCTCGCGCGGCGCGGTCTGCCACGCCCGCGCACTGTTCGACGAAATGCCCGAACGCGACGTCGTGGCGTGGACGGCCATGCTCTCCGGGTACGCCTCCAACGGGCTCCGCCGCGAGGCGCTGGACGTGTTCCGGCGCATGGTCGCCGCGGGCGCCGCCCCCAACGAGTACACGCTGTCCAGCGTCCTGACCGCGTGCCGCGGCCCCTGCGCCCCCGCGATGGCGATGCCCCTGCACGCCGTCGCGGTGCGGCGGGGCGTGGACCGCATGCCGTACGTCGTGAACGCGCTCATCGACTCCTACGCGTCGCTCGCGGAGGGCGTCGTGGACGCGAGGAGGCTGTTCGATGCGTTGGGGAGCGGGCGCACGGCCGCGTCGTGGACGTCGATGATCGCTGGGTATGCCAGGTGGGGACAGGAGCGCACGGGGCTGCGGTTGTTCAAGACGATGCTTAAGGTGTGGATATCTCCTACTCTTCGCAAATCATCTATGCTGCGCTGCTTTGTGCAATTTCCTGTTATTGTCATGTGTTTAGTAAAAACTGGATAGAAAAATTATTTTGTTACTGTGGCTATGTGACCAAGCGAACCCTATGACCTTCATTGTTGTAGTACAAATCAGAAATAATGGGTATTGGTCCTCAAGTTCAAATATAAGTTTTCATACAAATCAAATACAAATTTTACGGTTTATGCTGCCAACAGGAAATTGATATTGCCAGATTCATTATGATTATATGTCCTTTTTCATTTTATACTATTTGTGCAGTGCAGGATGGTGTCGAATTGAGCACATTTGCATGCTCTATTGCACTCCATGCATGTACATTAGTAATCGACTTATGTCTTGGGCAGCAACTTCATTTGCAGTGCATAAAGAAAGCTCTTGATGTGAACCTTGCTGTTGTAAATTCTCTGATCGACATGTACTGCACTTGTGCAAGAATTTTGGATGCAAGAAGCCTTTTTGATGGAACTCCTGAGAGGAACTTGATCACTTGGAATACCATGATTGCTGGGTATAGCCAATGTGATCCTCTAATGGCCTTGCAGCTCCTTCTTGAGATGAATGATGAGCCAAATTGCTTCACTCTAACTAGCATTACATCAGCCTGTGCTGATCTTGCGGCGCTGAGATGCGGGAAGCAGGTTCATGGGGCCGTTCTTCGGAGAAGTTACAGTGATGACCTACAAATGGGCAATGCCCTCGTGGACATGTACTCAAAGTGTGGGAGCATAACAAATGCAAAAAATGTGTTCGACAGGATGGGTTGCAAGGACAAGTTTTCATGGACATCGATGATTGCTGGGTATGGAATGAATGGTTATGGAAATGAGGCTGTCCAACTTTTCAGTTCCATGATCCATGCTGGGGTGCATCCTGACCATGTTGTGTTCCTGAGCCTAATAAGTTCTTGCAGCCATGCTGGTTTAGTAGATGAAGGATGGAATTTCTTCAGGTCAATGATAAATGAGTATAATTTGCAGCCTAACAAGGAGGTTTATGGTAGTGTCGTCAATCTCCTTGCTCGTGCTGGTAGGCTGAGAGAAGCCTTGGACCTAATTGATACGATGCCATTTGCTCCTGATGAATATGTTTGGGGAGCATTGCTTGGTGCCTCCAAGATGCATAATAATGTGGAGATGGGCAGACTAGCTGCAAGAAAGATCACTGAGATCAATCCTGATGATGTGAAGAATTATATCATGCTTGCAAGTATATATGCTGCAGGTAGTAAATGGGGCGAGTATGCTTTTACAAGGAGGTCTTTGAGAGGCATAGGGAGCAGGAAGGAGGCTGGAATCAGTTGGATAGAGGTAATGGATAAGATGTATAGCTTTACTGCAGCTGACAGTAGCAGCCCTCAAGTTTGTTTGGCAGATGAAGTATTGCATATCTTGTCTCAACACATGGATGATGTTGGAAGTGAATTTTGCCACATTATCTTTAAAGCTACATAACTCATTGGTGTTTGAACACTCGATCAGTTGAAATCAAACATTTGCTTAGATTGGTGCTGGAGTTTGGTGTTGTGAGTTGTGAAGTACCTGTTCAGAACCAAACAATTGTAGACGAAATCTAATGAAGATACAAGAGGTACCTCTGGATCTTCAGAAAAACTTTAACTAGTTATTAAAGCAAATATACCTAGAGAAATACCAATCTATTTATTCTCTCAATTTTATGGTTTATGGTTTCCCACTTGCATATGGAAAACAAGTAATCATGATTTTTTTTTCGCTGTTAGTTCTTGCTATATACTAATGATCCAAATTTGAGCTTTCATGCAACGTACGAAATTCATTTACGAGTTATGACAACAATTAATAATCCTAGGAATGAAAGAGCTGTGGACCTGAACATTGATTGGAAATATTTATTGGAATTATTCAGTTAGCTCTAAATTGGTGTTGGAATTAATTTGATAGCAGCTGGGACAGTGAAATCAATTGATTGGGAGGATCTTGCAATCCCTCAAGGCTTCTGTGGCCCTGTTTACCTCCTAGCAACACCCTCTACGTTATATTGAAAACATATCTTTTAGAGTGATTGGTAAATATGATAGCAAATATAGTAACAAAGAGGTGAGTGGTGTCTTATACCTGAAGAAAGAGTTAAAACATTTTCAGCAAAACAACTGAACGGATATTAGGTGAGGATGGTTTCTACAAGCTTCGCTAGTAGGAAATTTTTCTTTGTTGTTCCCCTGTATTATGTCTGATGCAACAGGAGAACCTCTGAGAATATTTACTGATATTGGGTGGTCATGGTTGGTACAAGCATCTCTAGTAGTACTTCTTGCTTTGTTTGTGCCCCTGTATATATGTCTGAGTGCAATAGGAGAACCATTAAACTAAGCATAATCAATTTTTATGACTTGTGTTTCTTAACATGAGCTCTGAATTTTGAGGATTGAGCTGCTCCTTCGCTTCTACTTCTGAGTACTAACCTGGTACACAGCTTTTGGATGGCTTTATGTATCATCTATGCAGCTTTCACAAGCTAAGAAGGCTGAGTATGGTGCATTTTATTAGTAAAAGTCAGCATAAACCTGTTGTTTACATGCCCACCTATATCGGTTAAAAAAAGCCTTGGGAATTTGGTTGATAAAATTTTGAAGATTAGAAGTGCAACTAAAGTTGAGTAGCTGAACTTGGGCAGTTGGGGTAATGTTTAGAAGACCAGCTTCTATTCGTGACTGTCGACTGGGATACATAGAAGATAGCATGTCTTGTGACAGTGGCAAAAAAGTTTAGTGTTCATAATCATACCACCCCAACTGGATGACTTTAGTAGGTTTCAGGTCAGTCTTTTTCTCATGTGACATGTCTTATTTTTGGTGGAACGTCATTGTTGTCACAAAATATGTTGTTTGCATCCTCTTAAAGTTTGAATGGCCGGCCTATCCTTCACATAATATTCATGTTGATCAACAAAACGAGGGTTTCGATTTTGGTATATGTTTATATTAGCTTCTCGTATATGGTCTCAGTTTGATGCTGATAAATTCATGTGACTGAAAATATGCACTTGCTAACCATTTCAGATGGTTATGTTCGCGAAAAAGAAAAAGAGAAGATATTTACGTTCGACATGTGCGTTTTAGCTAGGGACTTCTTTTTTACTCGGAAGAATGAGATATGCACTTTGGAGAATGCTTCCAGTGATTGCTTCGGTAATATGAAGAAACAGCTGCAATCTGAAAGGCAGAGGCACTAACACCGTTGCTGGAGACATCATGTATACTATAGCAGTGAGTTATTTAGTAAGTATATATAGCGATCAGGTAATGATATTGAGTTATTAATCCATTTTATGAATCATACAAATGCTGTCTATGTTGAGCACTTCTGGCTGCAATGTTTTATACACACATAAAAGGATCTGCATGAGTCAAACCTTACGCACGCACAACACAACATTGTACAGAGATTTAAGGACTAACATATGATCCTCATTAATTTTTGGACTTGGTACATATAGAGATGTAACTTCTGTAAAAATAATAGTTTAATAGAATGTAACTATACCACTCTAAGATCATACAATGGGTTAAATTGAACTTATGTACCTGAAGGAAACTTAAAAGCAACACCTGTAATTTGAATTGCCATACATATCAAACAGATAAATCTACCTTTGTAATGGGCACATATATGCTTAACTTTTCTCAGAATTCGATCAAGTTCTAGATATAGTTATACCATGACCAAGAGCTAGCTAGCAACCTAGCCATGTTGTTATTGTGACTATTTTGTGACAGGACCTCTACCAAGAATTTCTGAAGCACATCACTGGTTTGCATCAACAACCCCTCTATTTCCTGCCAGCGCCAGGTACTTATTCTCACGGGTGAACTTGGTGCATTCAAACCCAAGCACTCTACCAATCTCACCCTGCACCATGTTGGCCACATGTTTGCTCTCACAGGTCTTGCCATCCACGACCATCCTGGTTGGCACCTTCTCCATGAACTCGACATCGTAAGCCGGGCGCGGATTCATGAAGTAGTAGAAGCTGTCCAGGCACTTGCTTCTTCCGGTGGAGTTGCCGTAGAACATGTCGGACCAGTTCACCAGAGCCACCAGGTAGACCTCGTCGACGAGCTCCAGCGACAGCGGGCTGAACCGGAGGAGGTAGGGCTCGCGGCAGGTCGTCCCCTCGGGGCAGACCACCAGGTCGCCCCGCCGCAGCGCCTCCTCCATCCTCCTCCGGTCCTCGTCGCGATCCCGGGTCAGCCGGATGGTCGGGATCGGCGATATCCACTCGCTGAGGCGGCTGACGCTGTAGGTGACGGCCGAGACCTTCTTGTTGAGCATCGCTGCAATGTAGACCGGGTCGAGCAGCGTCCGGTGGTTGCACACGTAGAGGTGCCCCTTTGGGTTTCTTGGGTGATCAGCTTTGGCCTGACCAACAGGGGAGTTGATGACACGGGTTCTGACTCCGAATACGGATCCGATCGCCACAGAAACAGGGTAGGGGAGGGTGACAAAGATGAGTGTTCTGAAGATGGTGAGGGGGAGGGAAAATGGGAGCCATGTTAACATGGCTAGGGTGGCTTGAAAGGTTGGCCTGAAGGCCAGCCTTCCATCATGGAAGACCAAGGGCTTGGGGTACTGGTCTCTTGGCAAGGGTGACCATTTTCGTTTTTCTTCTGGAGTCACCAGGTAAACCTCCTGCAGGTGAAGAAAGGAAACTGGATTATGTTTCACACCCAATCCCCCACTGGCTTAAATTATATGCTGGGTTTATTCAGCATTGAAATAACTTGCAGATTAAAGTGAAAAGTGAAAATGAATAGCTCTCAAAAGTTGGAAATTCCTACTGCACACGCTGATGGAAAATTGGTAGAATTAATGAATTTCCAGAATTAGGAGAAACTACTGCTATCAAATATTGGCTTGTCTCTAGAATTCAGAACTGTTCAAACTTATCACAGATAATTCAGGATATGTACCTGATGGTTCAGTGAAATGAAAACAGCTCTCAAACTCATGTTATCTATCAATCCTTTTTCTAAAAGGGACTATTCATGCTCACAGATTAATCCTTGATCCTTGAATTCTCAAATTTGCAATTCATATCCCTACATTTGGATAAAATTCTCTCACCCAAACAGAACAAATATTTTTTTTGTCAATATCTGCTGGTTAGAATTAATGATACTGAAAATGAAGAGAACCTATAGCGTGTTGACAGCTAATGATTTGTTCACTCCCTCCAAGTAACAACTAACAATATTAATAAGATTCTCAAGCTAACTGTGATCGGTTACTTGCACCATGAGATCATATAAACTTATAATCAAGTTAGACTAAACCATTTCATCAAACTACTCCTTGTGTGTTTTTGCCCTTTTCCCTGGTTTCAAGCTTACGGGCAAAACTGCAATTAAAATGCAATATTACGAAGCTAAAGTTGGCGACACACACACACACACACACACACACACACACACACTATAGTACTATATATAGCTAGCTCATTGCCGTTCAGTGTTCAGATGTTCAAGCAAGTTCATGCCACCTTTCTACCATCAAGGTACCGTACTTTCTTCTTTTTGGATGATTATATATATTAATTCCTATATGGCGGCTGATGCATTATATTCGTGCATTTATAGTGAATAAGATTCTTATATTTGGAATTTATGGGAGCCTTTGACCATTTTCAACTACCACTAGCTGCTACAAAAATCCTACCTAACTTATGCAAATATATATAAGATGCCCCTTAACGATGTAGGAAGTGTAAGCTACAGTGAGTTAGATTCAGGAATTAACTAAATCACGTAGATGTGTTTCGTGGTCATTGGATTTAATGCATGTGAATGTGATGCTGCTTAATTGCATGCTACGTGGTTCGAGCCAGCTTATTTTTTTCAAGATCGAGTGTTCGACCCTGTATTATAGTATATCCCAATGAGGAAGCCTCTAGTTTCAATTATTATTATATAATTTTCCTAGTGCACAAGTGATTGTCATGGTGGTAAGTTAAGCTCTCCAGTTTCAGAATACCAATTCCATACCATATATGATATATATGGGTTCCTATATTCTAAGTTTATCATGCATATGTCTGACATCATGATGTCAAACCTATCTCTCTCCCTGATGTATGATATCTTTGTTGTAGGGAACATGACAACATGTGCACAAATTAATGATTCATGCATGGATAATGCAATTGGTATCTTGGTGGTAAGTACAGGGATGGAGAGAATTAATTATATTGACTCACCCTAGTTTTGCAAATCAACTAAAAGTACTGGTTCATATATATTTAACTAAATTTCATGACATGAACTAGTAAAGGTACATTTTACTTGATTTAGTTGACAACGGTGGGTCAATGATTTCCAACATGTTGACCCATTTCCAAATTCCCATCCCAAGTGGTATGCAAACAAGTACTTATTCCTCCATTCCACAATGTAAAACTTTCTAGGATTACCCAAATTCATATAGATGTTAATATAGATGTTAATATAGATGTTAATGAATCTAGACACATATAGAAAACATATATACATTAATCGATGAATCTAGATAAGTCCAAAAAGTCTTACAATATGAAACGGATGAAGTATATGAATATGTGAAGTCCCAACTTATGATGTGATGGATAATTATAAAGTTTCTACGGTATTTCAAGAAGATATCAAAGAACATGCATATCATGTTGAAAATAAAGTTAACAGATCTATTGCAATTAAAACACATCAAATTGATGCAAGAAAACCAAAAATAAAAAAAAATGAAGAAGACCTATTCAGTATATATTTCTAACAAGAGTCTTGCAATTTATGCAGTAGGCAAAACAAGGATTAATCATATAATTCATGCATGCATATGTGCCATCTAACCTTGCACCAAGAGAAAAGATGGTGGTGATCATGGCCAGAATATCCTGAGCTGCTTCCAAACCCTATCATTTCTTCTCCTTCCAGATCTGCCAGCTCTAACCTTCCATCACTCATGTTCTCCAATAAACCAACATAAAAACCTCTTACCATCTTCACCTCTCTCCCCACAACCACATCCACACCTAGGTAATCTTCCAGGAATGGTTTCACCATAACCCTAGGGATCACCCTGCTCACCCCTACCACACTTTTCACCCCTCTCACAGCCTCAAGCCCTTCCATTCCTACACCCTCTAGGAAGTGCTTCGGCAGCGCCGCCCTCGCAACCCTAGCCACCTTCTTCTCCTTCAACCCAAAGAAGCACACCATCACCATGACCTTCAATTTCACCTCTTCCGGCAGCAGCGGCGCCAGGCACCACAGGACAAGGTGGACGCATAGCATGATGAAGCCCCTGAGGAAACCACCTGCCTCCATGGCCACAAGCATGAAGTAAGGGAAGGTAGAAGATGACATTAGGATCCCTCCTTCTACATCTAGGATCATCGTCTTGTCTCGAAGGCGATCCCGGTCTTGCGCCGATGATGATGATGATGGGCATCTTGGGATGATCCTAGGGTAGGTTGATGATGAGATCCCAGTACTGGTGCTTCGCCGGAGATGATGGTGCTGGTGGTGACCTAGCGGATTTGCCAGCCACCGGCGAACAAATCGGTAGAAATTAGTGTGGCCGGAGGAGGGATCTGATGCCATATGTGTATGTGCACTCAAAAGAATTGTTTTTGAGGTGTAGTTCGACCTAGCTTCTTGTTTATTTGATGAAGGTTGCAAGGTGCAACTGCAAGAGGGCAGCCGCCGTACGCATATATAAGAGCAACAAAAAGCTTGTAGGCAGCTATAGTGACTTGATTGTGAGCTATTTCTAAAAGATAAGTTCAGATGTCAAATTGATTAGCTGATCGAGATCACTGGTTTTGATTTGACCAAACAAGCTACAGTTTGATTCTGTTGCTTATTAAGCTTGGTTGGCTGTAAAATGCAAATTAGGGTACGTTACGCGTAAGCCCTTAATCAGAAGTAGTCAAGGACAAAACATTGCTAAGGACAGTAAAGACAGATATATATGATACAAGTTTACCATATTCACCACTTGTGGACACAGAGAAAGTGACAAGCAGTTGACCATTATTTATCACTGCAAGGACCATATGATAATTAATAATCGTCACTGTGCTCAGAAAGTCACACTGTGTGCCTGCTGGTGAAAGATCCAAAATTGACAGTAATTTAACCAGGGTTGCTGGTCATACATTAGCGCAGTGGTCAGAGCATGTCGCCATTCTGGTAATACTTTTTGTGAGAGTGTCAGAATTGAAAAGGTAATATATTTGGTGCAGGCCGGCTTGATCTCTCTTTGTTTGTTCATTCCTAGAAGAAACATAATTGATGATGACCCCTCACCTAAAAGCATGAGCGATTGAGGTACACACTACCTCCTTCCTATTAATATATTTACTCTAATATTATTCAAAATTAACCTTGCATTCTTTTTTTTCCTAAAATAATCGAGGTACATACCTGTTGTTAACATGTGCTACTAATTAACCAGCCCTTTGTCGTTTCACGGGTAATTTATTTTCTTCTTTTAAAGTAGAGTTAATGTGATATATAGAGTCCAACTGTTTTACTCTATCTTATACGTACTAATTGAGCAAGGTTTTAACAAACATATAAACTCTGATGCAATTGATCTAACCTGCGGGATTGATCATGTCATGTGAAGCATCAATGATAAAGTATTTGGGGTTGGCTAAAAACTATGGGTAAAAGAAGAGAAATCATTAGTTATCTATTAAAGTTAATTTGATTCAATGACCAGCAGATCAGTTTCATGAGGATACATATAGCTCGGAGATGATGAACAAAATGTGTTAATTAATTTGCCTCAAACTTTAGAGGGGCTCATTTAATTAAGATCATTACTCAACAGGTGAGAAGTGCGTTGAGTAATGGATCAAGTGAATGAGTTCAATATTAATGTTTCATTTATGTGCCCCTAGCTAGGTTTTAGAATATTTCAAAACTGATAACGCCTAAGTTTCAATTGTCCATTAGGTATCTTATCAAAATTAAGGCTTTTGATGCATATAGGCTTATGTAACAACGTGGCGCTACTTATATGTGTAAAATTGTCCCAATTTCAAGTGTTTGAAATATTCTAAAAAGTTATTCTAAGCCTACTATTTTAATGCAATTGAATGCAATAATTAACTTCATCGATTTGTATATACAAAATTTATTTTTTAGATAATGGAATAAAAATCCTTGCATCATGTGATGCACAGATCCATTAATTATTACAATAATGTGGATGTGGTACTCGTTAACTTCACCATAAAGCAGTAAATGCTATAAAGGAAACAACTATAAAGTAAATATGTGGATTATCAAGCATATATCCTATTAGTAAACTTCCATCCATGCTTGGTGAATATCTCCAATAGAAGTCTCCAAAAGACGGCACACCGCTTTTATATGGTGTTGTTCCTCCTCCTTTTGCAACAAAGCCTAGAATCGAATTCAATGGGTGCCCCTGAAGATTACATGCATAGATGTGAAGATTACCTGCATAGGTGAAAGATCATTTGTTTTCTCAAAAACTACGTCATTATGACTTATCCATATTGCCCAACACATAGCACTTGCTCTAACCAAAATAAGATTCTTTAGCCTTTTTGAAACATCTTGCAACCATATTCCAATATTAGAAAAACTAATAGGTGGTGGTAGGCCAAAAGCTATTTGAATCGCGTGCCATATGAACTTTGCAAAATGACAAACGAAAAATAGATCTTGTATTGTTTCATCTGAATCACAAAAACAACACTTAGAATATTTCAAAACTGACAACGCCTAGTTTCAAATATCCATTAGGTATCTTTATCAAAATTAAGGCTTTTGATGCATGTAGGCTTATGTAACAACGGTGGCGCTACTTATATGTGTAAAATTGTCCCGATTTCAAGTGCTTGAAATATTCTAAAAAATAGTTATTCTAAGCCTACTATTTTAATGCAAATTGAATGCAATAATTAACTTCATCGATTTGTATGTACAGAATTTATATTTTTCTAAATCATATTATGGCTGGTTACTGGGTACTAACCGTATAGGAAAGGAACAAATTTGAATTTGATGTGCTTTTACCACTTCCATTTGAATTTGTCATGTTTTAGTATAAACATTGTTTTATTTCTCACTTCTAAAAATCTCTGCCATTAAACTGTGGGTATTTCCAGGCACTACTAGAACTCACCATGTCCCCTACTGCTTTTTCTAGTAGGGAATGAGTTGAAAACAAGTTCCCTAGGCCTTTTTTTAGAGGGAAAACATCATGTGGGAAATTATTCGCATTAAGATATTTTATTTTATTTTGCATTGCAGAATTAAGAATTAGCTAGTACACCTAAAGAATGAATAGAGAAGGCAGTTCTTGCTATTTAATGAGTTGGTTGGGAACGGGAATCACATATTCAATTCCTGGATATAAGCTTTCGTTAAAAATGCATATTATTTTTATGAAGTGTGTGACTCTCTCAATTAGAAATTCCTATACCAACTTATTTTTGTTGTTAATGCAGGATGCTCAAACCAAAATATAATATCCAACATGAGTGATGGCTTCACTTATTCGATCTTGACCCAAATTGATCAATTTTATTATGCAATGATTAATGTATTACACTTATCCCTCCATCCAAAGTGATGATATATATGGTCCCTCAAAAATAAATTTCTTTCTCCCTCAAAATAAGCCATGTTTAAAGCACGCATGGGTTTTTTCTGTACCCTTAATCGAGATATCACTATCCCAATTTATGTGTGACCATTACAATGTGTTTGACAATTTATGAGAAGGGAATATGGAGTTTAGACTTTTAGAGGAGGAAGTTGATGCAGGAATTGCTCGTTGGGAGTTATATTTTTACTCATCATCCTTGTTTGTTAGTAAAGATGAGGATCATATAGAGTTCAGAGGAATTGAATTTTAAGTCATAATGTATGACTCAAAATCTCATCTTACTAAAGAGAGAAATTTATTTTCAATTATCTTCCCCATAGGTATTGAAAATGTGTTGCTATCAATAGCCCCTTCTCCAATCTCTAGTAGAACCCTCTTCCACCATCCAAACAACACAACAACTCCATCCCCTAGACTCCTGTCCGCTCAAAACAATTTCCTCCAACCAAACGCACTCACCTATCCAAACGATATGGGCTATCTTTTTATTTTTCTGAAAAAACAAAAAGGAAAAAAAATCCTTTAGAATTGATTTGGATTAATGGATACAACTTCACTCATATTCTAATTTCCGAAGAGATACTCTCACCTATCCAAACGAAAAGAGGCTGTACGTGAGCACTAAGCAGATATTTCTACAAAATGAAAAACAAATATAGAGGAGACAGCTCATTTTATTTCCTTGAACTAAAATACATCCAAACCTTATATATACATTACAATTTTTTTTACATTAAAATACTGTTCTGCTGATAAAAATAGCCATACATCATGCAAATGTCGCGTGCCTATTTTACAGAAAAAAAAAAGACGAAATAAATAATTAAATCGCATCGGATTCAGAGGCCCACAAAATCACATCTTGGATGCTGTTTGGTTGGGCCAATTTTGGGCCGTATTCTAGAAATGAAATTCGAGTGTTGTGGCAATTTTGCGGCCCAAAAAGAAGAGCACCTACATCACTCGCCGGCCCATTAGCCCTCGCCTCCGCCTCCGCGTCTCTCTCCAGCTTCTCTCTCCCCCATGGCTCTCGCGTGCGCATCGCGCCGCCTCCTCGCCGGCGCCGGAACTCCGGCGAGATCCTTCCACTCCCAGCCCTACCAAGGTAACCCCCTCTCGTCTCCTCCTCCTCCTCCGCCTCCTCCCTCTTGGTTATTGTGATTGGAGCTCGATTGCTGCGGGCGCAGCCAAGGTCGGCGTGGTGGAGTTCCTCAACGGGGTCGGGAAGGGGGTGGAAACGCACGCCGCGAAGGTGGAGGAGGCGGTGGGAGGCGACCTCCAGAGGCTCCTCGAGACCCGCACGCTGCGGCTCAAGAAGCTCGGCATCCCCTGCAAGCATGTACGTCCTATACCTGTCTGTCCCTGGTATGCCTTTGGTAGTAGAGTCTCTGGTTCATGTGCAGATTTGAGCAGCGGCTTGATGTTGTTGCCGATTATGTTAGTGAGTGGGGGTATTCAGCATTTCGTAATGTGATGGTATGTTTTTGGTTAGATTTTGCTGTATAATGTTGCCATTGTTGGATGATGTCGTTGCGTTTGTTTGGTAGTAGTGAACCGAGTAACTGATTTCTGTGTGCTTAAAACTATGGCTCGTTGCATTATGCGTAGATTTGTTTGAAAAATCATACGTACTGTTGATTTTAGAGTAAATTTCACAATACCACATGCTTTTGGCTCCAAGTTGCACAAAACCCTGGGGGTTTTAGCCCTACGCACTTAACAATTATAAGTGTTGCTTTTTGGGGAGAGTTCTTGGTATTGAATCGGATTGGATTGCAATGTATTCCTTGGTCAATAGATTGGACAAAATGTATTTTGGCGTGTGCTTGGAGGTTAACATTGTTGGAGAGTAATTTGGTAAATGTGCTATCTAACTCAGTGTTTTGCTTTTCCTGCTTATTTGTCTCTAGGCTGTGCATTTCTGGATAGACATTTGACATGAAAAATCTGAAGTTCTGTTTTTATTTTTTTCTAAATAGTTGTTCTTGTGAATAATAAAGCTATGTCCGTGCAAAGATTTTTCAAAAGAATATACCATTGCTTTGAGGATAGGTATATGTTGTCAGTTTTCAGAATCCAATTAGCAAAAGCTAAGTAGTTCTGCCATCGTGTCGTGCTTTGAAGGGAACTTACCTCTTTGACCTGAGATGTTGATATGTATCTTTTATTATTGGTAGCAACTGGTAGTGAATTACTCAATACTCAATAGAGAGTTGTGGTATTCTGTAGCATGTTCTTCACTGGGTGATCACATTTTTACTTGATTAAGCCATAAAATTGGCATTTTTATGCTTTTTAGATGTCTTGGTGAATTTGGCAATTATACTGTGACTTTAGAAATTTGAAGTGCAAAATACACATTTTTTTTTCCTTCAAGACAATTGTAGTACTTTTGTTTTAAGACCAAAGGCCAGAATAGCCCTGATTTTATAAACCAGATGGTAAATACAGAGGTACAATTGTAATATTTGGATGCAAATAAAGTTCTATGGATTTGCATTTCTACTTATGGTGGATCTTTGGTCGATGCAAAGTGAACACACATGCAGCTTATGACCTGCATGCTAAAGGAAATATCCATTTCTTTTTGTTAGGTAAGGGTAAACTGATCCCATTTTCACAGAGAAAATGATGGCATAGGCTAAAGGTTTGGAGATGTGTCGTACTTGTTCTTACCGTATTTATCTCCCTCCTGATTTCTGTTCTTACTGTTTCTTTTTCTTCTTTTCTTCCTAGCTTCACCAATTTGTGTTTGTCTAGTGAAGAATAATCTTGGCTGTCTGTTGTTAATCACATGGTTAGGAAATTTATTATGTTTCCATAATCCGTCCCTTTTTTAATACCTTAAAGGCAATCCCATTGAATGATTTGCTGCCAGTATATTGAGACATGTGAAGTCTTCGTCAGTAGATTATGATGTTTTCTAAGAAATAGACACCATTGTAGGTTTGTGGGTGACATTTAGCTCCTCCTAACCTATAACACAAACATATTTCAGATTCTCCAAATCTCCAGTAAAACTGGGACCATTGCATTTGCAACCACAAACCAGCTAAAGTATCAAGGTGACCAAGCCACTAAATTGTATACTAAGGTTGCTCACCCACCCAAGCACTTAAAAGGCAGGGTGGCCACTCGAGTTAATCGATACATAAAATTGATTGTGGGATCTGGCTGGCGGAACCTCTTCCTAAAACTTATCTTTATTTATCAACTATGTTCACTTTTTTCTGTTATCTTTGTGTTGAGATATGGGAAAATAATTTCTAGGGAATATATTAATTTAAAATTATTTTCTCCCTATGATGCAGAGGAAGTTAATTTTGAGTTTTGCTCACAAGTATCGTCTTGGTCTTTGGAAGCCCCAAGCAGAAGCGAAGAAAGCGCAATGAAGTTGAGTTGTCTTGAAGTGGGTCACTATGAAAACTATCAGCTGTCATTATACTTAACTGGGAAAATGCAATGAAGTTATTTTCTGATTTCTCCTGAAGTGCTCTACTTGCAAAATGATTTGCTATCGCTGGACTTAAGAACTTGTCAGACATTGAGCAGTTGCAGTGCAATTTCTATGCAACAGTCTGAACTATGCCCATGCTTTCTAGCAACTCTTGGAATCTGAAGACTTGTACCTTGTGCTTTGAGTACTTCGTTTTTCACTTGTGTGAAACAACAAATCCTACCAATACTAGGCCTTCTCATTGTTAGGTTGAACTTCCTGAGGTTGTAAAATACTTCAAAAATAGGCTAATTTATTGGCTAATTCGAATTCGTATACTCCATCCGTCCTATTTTAAGCGCAGTTGTAGGTTTTTTATCCAACGTTTAACCGTTCGTCTTATTTAAAAATTTTTCATGATTAGTATTTTTATTGTTATTAGATGATAAAACATGAATAATATTTTATATGTGACTTTTTTTAAAAAAAATCATATTTTTTTAAATAAAACAGATGATCAAACGTTGGATATAGAAACCCACAACTGCACCTAAAATGAGACGGAGTAACATATTAAGCAAGCATGGAGAGAGAAACATATATTACCATCGTTGTGTGTGTCCATTACATCTTAGTTTGAGTGCTCAAACCAATTTCCATTTTGCACCTTAACTCTTTCCGTTATGTTTATTGGCAGAGTTACATCAAACCAATACTTCCAAAAGGTGGTTATTTCAATCAAATGATAGCAGCCGTTGAGATTTATAGCGCCCACAGCATGAGTGGTGCATAAAACCCCTAACCGCACACTGAATTGGCAGATTAGTTACACCAGCATTACGAAGGTGTGATAGATCTGAACTTTGGGTATGGTGCAATCAGGGGACCAGATTCCAATCAATCAATATATAAACTACTGAAAATTCATACAGATTTGAGCTACAAGAACTAGCAACGTTCAAATTGACCACCACAGTCTGCAGTTCTGCACGCCTTGATAGATCCATCGTACATTTTTTTTGGTAAATATATTGACTTTGTACTTAGTAACAGTTGACTAAAGTTCCAATCACAACTCACAAGAGTGTCGACACAGTTAAGAAAGAATAAGTATCATGAATATCATTATATCAGTCAGATTAATTAGTATTGTCATAACAGAAGCTGACTCAGAGCACAGAGCAGCAATGCCAATTAGTAAACACTTGTAGTTTGGAATCTATGGAGTGCTAAAAGACCACGACCACAACAACTCAACATAATTTACAGCAGGATGACACCAAAAGGCCAAGGCAGTGATGGCAGCTACGGCACTCATTCTGTAACCCCCCTAGCTTCACCATGGATCTCCAATCTCGTTGTTATTCCCGTGTTGCTGCAGAAGAATAAAAACGACAGGTTAAACAAGAATAGGTGCCACATACGTCAGGATAACCTGCATTGCCCTTTAACAATCATGAGTAGATGAGAACATAATCTGGGTTGCGGAATAGGAAAATATAACATGGATGCTGAGATCAAAGGCTGTCGCACTTTGGAGCTGAAGAAGAACTCCGAGGGCTGGTAGCCGTCTCATTCTTCTTGTAGAACTGGATGGAGAACAGGCTGCCATGTGATCGGCCTGATGATATAGGTGATCCATGAAAGATAATGCCCGCCCCATACTTTGAGAAAACCCCTGTAGAATCGAAGCAATGAGTTTTAGGTAGTCCTGTCTGACGATCATCACTTTGGTTTGAAATAGTCTAATGACTTACAGTGAATTCATTTCATCGGCAAGCCTGTTGATTGAGAAATAGTAAATCACAGATGGTTGAAGTTAGACCACCAAATAGGAAAGACTAACAACCATGCATTTACTCACTACATCTGTATACATGTGAAGGTATGGTCTACAAGACAAGCAAAGGAGTGGAACCTGACATATCCTACATCCCATCTGAACACACATTGTTACTATACTTGGCCAACTATTAAATGAAAAGCAAGACTGAAAAATAAAAGGAAATTGAAAAGCACGAGTGTAGCAAAATAAAAGGAAATGCAGTATCATTGCAAAATAGACGGGAGGCAGAAAGAAAATTACATATTAAGTGGATTACAAAAAATAAGAAGCAGAACAGCTCAGCAGGCTCACTTATGAGACCAAAATGTCTACAGCAGCATCTGGCATATCACCATGGTAATCATATGAATAGAACATAAGCATATGCTACAATCTGGCTATAGAATGGCCAATACTAAAAAGTTTGCCTACAGTGACCCAAACATAGTACCATACTCATATAGACATGACTCTTGGACCTAAAGAAACATCTACAGGATGCACTAACCTACTGAAGGAATCGCTCAACTACCATTATATTCAACATAACAGCAATTCGAACAAACGAACAATTGCTGCAATTACTAAATTTTAGGTCAAAGCCAATTAGAAAAATCCAGTTCACAAAGTAGGTATTGGAAGCAAAATGTGTGATTCAATTTTATTCATAGTAGAGAAGAATCCACTGACACATACAACAAGACAAACATAAACATTTCTATCCTAAATAATTAGTTAATGTACCTTGCCAAAGTATGACGAGGCAGAAGATAATGGTAATAATCAAAGCTACCAGGTTGCCAATTGAGGAAGCTGGTTTGGTGTTCTTCATCTTCTTCAAAGCCTTCATCCGTTCAATCCTTGCCCTTTTTAAACTTGCGAGCTCAGATAGTTCACTAATGAGCTTCTGGTCAGCAGCATCTAATGGTGAAGCAGAAGGTGGTCGCGGCGGTCGTGGTGGCTTTTTCGACCGCTTCTTCTTCTCCTTCTCCCCCATCGACTTATCCAAAAGCCCAACCTTCATCTCGCCATCGGACGTCCTATCTTCTCCGCTTTTCACGGCGAAATCTTGAGAGCGTGACGAGCAGCAAGGAATGTGGTGATCATCCTTCATAGCTATAAGATCATTCCATGGAGTTTTCGCCTGGCTAGATATCATATTCACATCCGTCCCATTATCGCCCCCCTCTCTCATTAGCAAGCAATTCCCTTTCTCCAGATCAACCAGCACATCCCGGCCATGCACTTCCTTCGACTCCATGAAACAAACGAACCAAAAATAATAATAATAATAATAATAATAATAATAATAATAATAATAATAATAATAATAATAATAATAATAATAACGCAGCTCCCCTCCTTCCAAACTAGTAGAATTCAAGAATCAAATACTCTCTCTCTCTCTCTCTCTCTTCTTCAAGAATCAAATACTCCCTCCCTTCAGGCAAGGGGTCAGTTGAACCCCCAAACTTTCTGGGGAACACATAAACTGCTACAAGCTTCCAGATCTAGAAGAGGACATAGGGTTAGGGCAAAGAGAAAAGGCACATGTAAACAGCAACAATGAATAGAACGCGCGCAGGTACGGGCGCTCACCGGCGGCGGAAGCAGCAGCAGCAGCAGGGACAGAGACGGCGGCACCACCGCAGCTCGCGGGACGGAGACCGGCGCTGCCGGCAAGCGGGCGAAGGAGACGGGAGCCGAGGAGGGGAAGGGGAGATCGATCCTCGACCAGGGGCGGCGCGAGGCGGCCTTGCGTCGTGCCCGCGGAGGCGGAGGAAGGAGAAGGAGGGATCGATGGGAGCGAAATGGGGAACCGATCGTCCGTCGTTTAGGGGAAGAAGAAGACAGAGGAAGGGACAAGGGCAACAAGGGATGGAGCCTGAAAGGGCAGAGGTTAACGTTAATTGCCCCTAATCCAATTGCATTAGTATAGTCGTTTGCATATGGATAAGGGAGGGAAGGAGAGAAATAATTTGTCTCCTGCTCTATGATTAGGGTTTGTTGGAGTAAAGATTATCTTTTGACCTAATAGAACCTCTTGCAATTTCTACCTAGATTTGTACTATATCTAATAATCTTATTTAGCCGGTATATGGTAGTTGGGCAGATTTCTGATGGCATGTATTCATAGGCTAATGATTAAATATAGCCAGCCAGAATTATCAGGGCGTATTGCTGTTATGGCTAACCTTCTACCCACCATCTAATCCAGCAAACCAAAAGAGAACATTCTCTGAATTGCCATGAGAGTTCACTCTTATCATTTTTTAAAAAAGTTTAATAAATTATGCTCCTCAGTTCCTAGTGTTCATTAACCGATATACAAAACTTAAGATGGCTTTCATTAAAAGAACTAGGCAGAAAGACACAGCCAGTGTAAAATTTAGACCTAAAATATTTTACTCGTCGATTGTACTCCACCATGATCAAAGAGATCAAGATCACAAAACTCAGGATAGAACTAGCGATCAATATTTGGAACGTCATCGGCAACCTACACTCTCTCACTTGGAAGAAAACATGTTATCAAATTATTATTATTTTCACATGTTTCGATATATATGAGAACAGAGTAAAATGCATCAGTGGTATTTCAATTTATACATGGGTGTTATTTAGGTTCATTAACTTAAAAATCTTTACACCCGTAAACGTGCTTGCTATATCTATAAACCCAGATAAAAAAATCTGACATAGCATGCAACACAGACATTGACATGATATCATCGCTAACTCTACGTCGATTGACAAGTGTGTACTGAATGGGTAGAACTTCAATAGTATACTGTATACAACCATTTTTCATAGTAGAAATTAGTATCTTATTTGACGTACAACAAAATTAGTGAATACAGAGCCTATAGAATGTTACATCAGTATATTATACATGAAACGAAATTTGTCTGCGAAATAGAAAAGGTAGTAACATGCTAACAGCCCCCACACGGAGAAAAAGCCCAAGCATTTCTCGAGCTGGCCCAGTTCGAACGAAAGCCCATTCAGCTTTGGACCTGGATTCTGATTGGAAAAAGTATACTTTGACTCCCTCAACTATGGTTCGAGTATGATTCATATCCTCCAACTACAACACCGGGTATATCGACTCCTCCATCTATCAAAACCGGTACAAACAATGTCCCTCGGTGGTTTTGGCTGACGTGGCGCCTACGTGGCGGTTATGACCGAGTCTTTGTCCTACGTGGCGCTTTCGTGGCATTAGAATAAAAACAAAAATAAAAAATATGTGAGACCCACACGTCATTCACACACAAAAAAGTATTATGGGACCTACATGTCATCCTCCCTCTCATTCCCTTCTTCCTCCCCCTCTCTCTCCCTTATACTTCTCGGGAGCGGCGGCGGGCCGGCGGCTGTGACGGTGGGGACGAGGCGGAGGGGAGTGGTGGCGGCGGTGGCGGTGGCGAGCGGCGGTGATTGCTGCGGGGTCGAGGCGGAGGTCGGGGAGTGGCGGCGACGGAGGTCGGGGAGCGGCGGTGGCTGTGGCGGTGGGGAGCGGCGGTGGGGACGAGGCGGTGTGGAGCGGCGGCGGTGGGGAGCGGCGGCGGCGGCGGCGGCGGTTGGAGGAGGAGAAGACGGAAGAGGTGATTTGCGGGAGGATGCGCGGCGGAGGAGAGCGGAGGAGGAGTACGACGTCCTTCGGGGAGGAGCTCGTGTTTGCGCCACCACCGGTCCACCGCCGTGCTCGTGCTCGTGCTTGCACCATCGCCGCCGCTCCACTCCCCTTTGCCTCGTCCCCACCACCGCCGCTCCCCATCGCCGCCGCTCCCCACCGCCATAGCCGCCGCTGCTCCCCACCGCCGTTGTTCGTGCCGTCCCTGCTGCCGCACTAGCCAGCTGTCGTCCCCACTGCCACCGACACCGCCTCGTCCCGACCGCGGCGCCGCTCCTTCGTGCCGCCCTCGCCGCCGCGCTAGCCAGCCGCCGTCCCCACTGCCACTGGCACCGCCACCGCCGCCGCCGCTCTCGACCGCCGTCGCGCCGCTACCCTACGCCTCGTCCCCATCGGCCACCGCCACCGCCGCCGCTCCTGAGTGAGAGAGAGATAAGGGAGGAAGAGAGATAAGGGAGAGAGAAGAAGGATGACATGTGGGTCCTACATGGTTAGTGGGTCTAACTTTTTGTGTGAATGACATATGGGTCCAACATATTTTTTATTTTTGTTTTTATTCTAATTCCACATAAGCGCCACGTAGGACAAAGACTCGGTGAAGACTGCGACGTAGATGCCACGTCAGCCAAAACCACCTCCAAAACCATCGAGGGACATTGTTTGCACTGGTTTTGATAGTTAAAGGAGTCAATATACCCGGTTTTGTGGTTAGAGGTTATGAATCATACTCGAGCGATAGTTAAGGGAGTCAAAGTATACTTTTTCCATTCTGATTCGTACGGGAGTTCGGCGTTCGAACTGGCCAGACAACTATCTGAAGAACGCAATATACAGTCTACAGATTAACAGATGCAAAACTAATGTCCGTTGCTTCGACCCTCCTAAACTGAAATTCAGCATCTCGCACAAATAAAAGCTCCATGCATATGTTAGCTGACAAAGAGCCAGAGAAATTAAATGCACAACTCAAAAGGAACAGGATCGAAATAATCAATAATGCAGCCATATATAGATCAGATAAGTAGATCGAATAATATTTCGATAGATAACTAAGATAGCTGCCGATTGCACATAACGTTGCCACACTATATGCGTAGCTTTTTGCTAGTAGCTAGATCGATCATTGCAACAGCACGGCAACAATACTATAATTTAGGATAGATATGATCATATCATATGACGACCCAAGTGCACTGCAAGCACGCATGGCGATCGCGTTGGCGACTAGTTGGTGAGGACCCTCTCGCCGAGCACGCGTAGCGGACCTGAGCGGCGTCGAGGTGGCGCCTCTCCCAGTCGCTCCTGGTCACGTCCATGGGCTTCTCCATGGTCAGCCCCAGCACCTCCCTCACGTATCCCTTGAGCCCCAGCCTCCTCGCGCCGGGGAGGCGCCCGAGGCGGCGGTCGCAGACGTCCTCCAGGTCCACCGGCGCCGCGCACCGCACGCCGTAGCCGTCGGCCAGCTTGGCGGCGTTCTCGCCGATGCCGATGCCGACGAGGCGGACGGACGGGTCGGCGAGGAGGTCCCCGACGAGGGGCGGGACCCGGCGGGCGCCGGCGACGTGGAGCAGCTGCAGGATGAGGCAGCTGTCGCCGGCGCAGAGCTGGAGGATGGCCACCGTGGGCGCCACCGCCGGCCAGAGGTGGTCGCAGGGCTTCCACTCGCAGTCGAGGCCGACGAGGAGGCCCCCGCCGCCGCGCGGGGTGGTGGCGGCCGAGGCGCGGACGCGGCGCACCCACTCGTCGGCCGCCGCGGCGTCGCTGGTGACCGTCGTGTCGATCGCCGCGGAGCCGAAGCTGACGGTGCAGCCGCCGTCGACATCTTGGAGAAGAAGAGGCGCAGATCGATCGATCGATCGATCAAAGAAGTGGGGTGTGTGATGCTGTGGAGATGATCAGTGGTACGCCTCCTCGTATTTATAGTGTGAAAGTGAGTCGATTAGTATGACTGGGACATGCATTCTTGTAGTTAATGTCGAAGAAGTTGGAGCGGCGACGAAGGCTCATCCCGAAGAGTCATCTTTTAAAACTGTGCATGGCGTGTGCATGGGGAAGTTAATTTTTGCGTGCTTAAGTTTGACCGGAGCAGTAATTAATTCGATTTTGATCAACGCTTTTAAAATTTTACCATTTGATGAGTTAGCAGCGCAGGCTTGTTTGATTCGGATGGGTCGGCCCATAAGCGCGTCCTCGGCCTAAAGGGCCCTTTTAACGTAACAAGTGAAAAGGCCCAGATGCATGCATATGCCTACCGTTTTATAAATAAGAAAAAGTACACTAAAGGACCCTCAACTTGTCATCAAGTTACAAAATCGTCTCTCAACCGCAAAACCAGATATATCACATCTCTCAACTTACAAAACCGTTCACTTTAGGTCCTGTGATGGTTTGACCTGGTTTTATCTGACGTGACGAATGACTCAGCGTGAGATCCACGTGTCATATACCACGTCATCACTCTTTCTCTTTCCCCTCTTCTATCCCTTCCTTCTCTCTCTCAAAATTCTCCTTCGTTTGGGCAAGCCGGCCGGCGGGCGCGAGGTGGGAGAGGAGGTCGGGCGGCTAGCGACCGGCGACGGGCGATGCGGCGGCGGCGGCGGCGGCGACGACGACGACGTGGGAGCAGGAGGGCCGCCCCCTATGCCGCCGGTCTCCGTCGCCTCTCCACCAACTCCCATGGATGAGGACGGCGGCCTCCTCGCTCTCCCCGTTGCGCTCCCCATCAACTCCTCATCCTCCGTGCTCTGTGAGGATGGTGTCTTGGGCGCCGCCGACGATGCTGCCGTCCCGCGCTGCTTGCCGCTGCTGTTCAATCTGAACCTGCCAGCCTCGTCCCCGTCGGCTGCTGCCGCCGCCGAAGTCGACGAGATGGATTGGTGCTGCGACACGCTGCTCCACCTCTAGCCTGCACATCACCAAACGACGGCAGCAATCGCCGGCGAACTCTAGCCTACGACGACGACGACGACGACGACCAACCAGCAAGCAACAAGAATCGGAGAACTGTTACTGGGTTGCTGCGCTCCAATCCAACCATCACCATTGTTGCTGCTGCTACTGCGAAGAAGCTCTACCATCTCCTCCATAGACACGGATAATTTTTTTTTACTTTCGTTTTCCTCCATCTCTTTTTCACCACTCAAGATTTCGTTTCCGCCGCCTCTCCTGTGCATCTCTGTATCCAAAGGGGATGCTGCTGCTTTCAGCTGTACCAATAGCTAGAAAATGGTAGAGAAGATGATAAAATTTGGTTCAAAATTTGTAACGTAAACGTCATCGGAAGACGACGGGGACAAGGCGGGTAGGTTCAGATTGAGCAGCAGCGGCGAGCAGCGCGGGGCGGCGGCCTCGTCGCAGAGCACGGACGAAGAGGAGCCGACGGGGAGCGCAACGGGGAGAGCGAGGAGGCCGCTGTCGTCATCCATGGCAGCTGGTGGAGAGGCGACGGAGGCCGGCGGCGTGGGGGCGGCCCTCCTGCTCCCACGTCATCGCCGCCGCCACCGCCGCCACGTCGCCCGTCGAGGTCAGCTCAGCCACAAGAGAGAGAGAGAGAACTAACAGAGGGGCGGGCGTCGATTGCTCACAGAGTATCAGAAGCGCGCGCGCGGCGGATACGGTGAGGAGGTCGACAAGCGACGACCGGAAGTCGAACACCCGCGCCTGCGCGACGATGGCCTCCACGAACGACGCGTCCCCTGCGCGCGACGACGACCTCCACGGTCGCGCCCACACCTTCTCCCCTCCTCCATGCTTCTGCGTCATCGTCAGCGCCACCGGCAGTAGTAGCCTCTTCTCCGCCATATCACTCCCGTCGGAAGCGGTGGTGGTGGTCAATCACCGGAGCGAGTTAGCTAGCTAGTCGATCGGCTCGGTATTTGATTTGACTTGGATTGCTTCGCCGCGTCGAGGCCGACGGTTGAGGGGGACGGCCGCCGCGGCCATCCACGCGAAGTCATCCATCGGCGGAGCCGCCCGTCGTATCGGCCCTCCTCTCTGCCGCGCTCCTTCCCCACCAGCCGTCGGCCACGCTGGCTCTCCTCCCCGCCGCGTCGAAGATGCCGCCGCCATCCACGCCCAGGGGAAAAATGAGAGAGGAAGGGAGATAAGAGGGAAAGAGAGAGTGGTGACGTGGACACCCTGACACATGGGGCCCACGTGGGTCCCACGCTGACTTAACTGTCACGTCAGATAAAATCGGGTCAAAACCACCTAAGAACCTTGAGTGAACGGTTTTGTAAGTCGAGGAATGTGATATATCTTGTTTTGTAGTTGAAGGACGATTTTGTAACACGATGACAAATTGAGGGACCTTGGGTGTACTTTTTTCCTTTATACTAGCTATATTGCACTAAAGAAACTAGTTTTACTCAAATCTTATTCTATGCCTTTGATTTTTGCTAATGGCGTGTGTATTTGAGACCATCTGTGCTAATACGGAGTGTATATGACTAAAGAAAAGGGGAAAAAAAGATAATGTAGGAGCTGTATATGAAGTTTTACGTTCATAGTATATTTACACGACTTTATAACATGAGCTGCACTCAACATTACAGTGTTTTGTGCATCTACCTAAGAGCCACGTGAGTATTTAAATTAATTCTGAAAATCCATCTCTACGGCGCGAGGGGTCGTCATTCGGAACGCAGAAATTAATTCTATAGGATTTTTATAGAAAACAGTTCGATTTCTTGAAAATTTTCGTAAAATTCCTCCAAATCGATAGGTTTTAGAGACTTTAGTAAACAATTCAGATCGCACTCAAGGAATCGAGAAGCACTAGTACTCTATGCACAAGGTGCTGCTAATTGGCATGCGCGCGTCAGTAACGAAAACTGCCGCGCACGCCGCCCTCCCCACGCATTTTTTTCTTTTTTCCTTTTGCTATTTTTCCCGCGTTTTCCTTTTTTCTTTTCATCTTTTTCGCTTTTTCTTTTTCGCTTCCTCTCCCTTTTTCTATTATTTTGTGTTTTTCCCTTTTTTTTAATCGTTAGCACACGTGTTGAGTTGAAAGTTTTCAAATCTTAACTTGAAAGTTTCGAACCTTGAGTTGAAAGTTTTCAAATCTTGAGTTTTCTAATGTGCTGCTTGTTGGTTGGTGTTGATTGCTAATGGCTAGAGCCGATTGCTATTGCTGGATCCCATGTCTGGAGTTGCAAGACCTGCCAAGCTTGATCACGTTAAGTGGAGACTAGAGAGGAGAGATGCCGAGTGGTGAGCACGAAATTGCGATCACAGGTCGAGCGGGCGAGTGCGAGAGGGAGAATGAAACGGATTTCTGTTGGCAGTTTTGTATGGGACCCACTTTTTATTTTTAGGAAGTCAAATTTAACCAATCTCTTGAAGAGTTTTAACATCTTAAATTTTATTTAGAATTCCCATAAATAATATTTTAGGGATGAAATTTAGGAATATTGTTGGTGATGCTCTAATTACGGTGGTTGGGGTGGACGAGGGCACCAGCCTGGCGAACGCGTGCGAGAGGAGCAGCCATGGCGGATATTGGAGGCGAAGGTTGCTCCTCCATCTACGAGGCTCCACAACCTCGTGCATCAGGCTGAACCGGGTGACAAATTAGTCGCCCGCTGGTTCCCTCTCTCTTCCCCTCTCTCCACGTTATCCAAAATTCCTACGTGAAACCACTGTCGTCGGTTATTGTACTTGCTCTAAGCATAAGCAAAAAGAGAGTGCCTTCTAACAAGATGGTCCCAAGAGTTGATGAAACAACAAACTAGAATAGCATTCCAGGTTAGAACGATTGGCTAACATATATAGCACCACTGAATACAGGGGTGACCAAAGCAACAAAGAAAACTACTACTCCACTTGTGCTGTTGTGCATGGATAGTTCCATAGTTGCACTGCATCATGATCAGTTGGCAAGGACCCTCTCGCCCAGCTTGTAGGAAACGTAGGCGTCGATGCAGGCGTACTCGACCTGCGCCGGGTCCAGCTCCCGCTTCTCCCAGTTGCTCATGGTTACGCGCCTCGGCTTCTCCATGGCCATCCCGAGCACCTCCCTCGCGTAGCCCTTCAGCCCCAGCCTCCTCCCGGTCCCGACGAGGCCGAGCCGGCGGTTGCAGGCGTCCTCCAGGTCCACCGGCGCGGCGCACCAGACGCCGTAGTCGGCCTCCAGCTTCGCCGCGTCCTCGCCGACGCCGATGCCGACGAGCCGCACGGACGGGTCGCCGAGGAGGTCCGCGACGGCGGGCGGGACGCGGTTGGCGTAGAACAGCTGCAGGACGAGGCAGAAGCGCTCGCCGGCGCAGAGCTGGAGGACGGCCACCTTGGAGGTCTTCCAGGAGACGTGGTTGGGCTTCCACTCGCAGTCGAGGCCGACGATCAGGCCGCGGCCGCCCCTCGCCGCGGCGCGGACGCCGCGCGCCCACTCGTCGGCGGCCGCGACGTCGCTGGTGACCGTCGTGTCGATCGTGGCGGAGCCGAAGCGGACCGTGTGGCGCGTCGTCGTCATCACCATGCCTGCGTTCTAGGAGTAGCTAGCTAGCTAGTGGCACTGGAGTTGATCGTGGTTATGACTCTTGTATTTGTAGTGCAGAATGAGTTGATCCATTGGATGGCAAGTAAATGGCGCTGTACTTTGGAAGTTGGAACGACTAGTCCACGATCCTAATCCCGAAGAGTCGTCAATTAAGTTCCCGAGTGAAGAATCATCAATGAAAAGTGTATACGTTGTGTTGTGTACTACTACTACGAGCAAGTTTAATAGTATAGCCCACTACTAGCTCCAAAACATCTATAGCCAATGTAATAGCCAATTTATACAATAGTTGCTTACTATACTATTAGTATCTGGTCCCACATGTCGTATACACATTATGTTTTGGAGTCCGTACTGCAGCTGGCTGCAGATCTATAGTCCGTTGCTTTTCTCTCTCTTCCTTCATCTCTTTAAAATATGTTTATCTTTATCTCATGGAGTATTACACACCAACCCTCATGAGGCATACAGATCTTTTTAATTTGCCCTCTTCTTAATAGCCATGTCAAGCAGTCAAGGGCTAAAAATTATTATGTATATTTTGAGACGGATCGAGTAAATTTATAGTATATGGCATACGGATTTGCGTGCCAAAAAAAAATGTCGATCGAGCACAAGAATTAGAAGAAGAAACTGTTGCTACATTTCAAATTTTTACCAAGGAATTAGCTTATCTTCTCCATCAAACCACAACTTCATCTACAGAGAAGGTACTTGGCTATAAAATCCATGACCAAATATGTGTTGCTCGAATCGGAGAAAGTTTGGGTGAGAGCGGTGATGGTGGAGGAAGAACGGAAAAGGCATAGGAAGGAGAGAAGCATGTCGAGGAAGGAGATCGAGATGGCTTTGAATTAGGCCTTTTTCGATTAATCTCCAAGATGGAGAGAATGGAGGGGACTGAGGGGGATTTATTCCACACCTCAATAGGTTCGGAATAAATCCCCTCCAAATCTCCCACAATCCTTTTAGGAGAGGGATTAACCGAATAAGGTCTTAAAGGAAATTAAAGGGGAAAATCAATTCATACAATATTTGACACAGCCCATTTCCTCTATTTATAGGCCGAGACGTTCTCTCGGCGCAACTTCGACCAGTGTAGTGTGGATTTACTTGTCGTACATGTACAGACCGCCCCAAAGTCCCCTGTAGCCCACTTAATAAACACAATTGGGTCTTGATGATGTAGTGGACTTCGTGATAATAGGTCTTAATCATGAAGTGGTACTACACATTCAAGTGGCTTTGATCATGAGTGACTAGAGAGGAGGGGAGACAAAAAAGAAGGGCGGGTCTAGGTGCTACTAAGATGAGAGGAGATTGAACATGAACTCTCTTCATCCATCCATGGAGTGAATGGTGGCAGAGAGACAATCAAGAAGAAACATAGAAAAAAAATACCCTATCTATGTTTCTAAAAAAAATATACTATCTATGTTTCTAAAAGAGTATCTTTTCAGTTATAAACTTGGAAAGTAAAGATACTCTTTTAGAGATGAAACAGATAATAAGGTAAACATCATTTATACATGGAAAGTTTACTAGATGGTGGTTGTGTTGGACGGAGACATGTCCAAGCTTGCGAACAAGATCGGTGTTTGAGCAGTAACAATATCCATATAATATGTCACAAACTTAGGTGCTTACTATTTCTAGAATCAGGAGGCATACATATTCAAGGTACAACTTGGTAGTTGGAGCCCAACTGGAATCCTATATGGAGCCCAATCCTAAAATTTTGGGTCTCAAAGCAAAAATTAGGCTCCAACAGGTTCCCCTAATATTGTTCCAAAAAATTGAACTCCCCAACATAGGGAAAATTACTCTTCACAAGTAGGGGAGGCCGCGCGTGCTCCCAATGTGCCGCGAGAGAGAGTGTCTGTCGCGAAGGAGCGGGGGGAGGGGGGGATCGCGTGGGGTGGCAATGTACGCTCGATTGTGAATGAGAGAGGGGGCTTTTTTATTTTGTTGTTTGGTGTTGGACCCACACTTTTGTTATTGGGAATCAATTGTTTGGTTATCTCTTACAACATTGCCAAGAAATTGGCTAAATTGCATCCCCAAAAATCTGATTTTGGGAATTCTAAACAGATTTTTTATGTGCGAAAATAGTTGTCCCTGCAAGAAATGAGGTAAAATTGACTCCCTAAAATGAAAAAAATGGGCCCCATGCGAAACTACAAGCCAAAACCAGTTTATTCCTCATCCATCCGTGTGATGACGATATTGGAGACACGTGTAGAGGTCGACAAGATGGTGAGCGACACAAACCTGCTCTCTGAACAGCAAAAAAAAAATGATACAGTAGCAAGCAGTAGCCATCCTCCTATCCTCCGATGCACGTCCAACGTATGGCATGCTCCATGCTAGCATAACAAATTAGTCAATGCCTTCTGGCCCATCTAGACCATCTCTTCCTCTCATTCTCAACAAATAAACGGAGAAAGAAAGGGTCTTAAAGCCTAGTGGGACCGAGGAGGCAGGACCACAGGAGACATGGTACCTCAAGGTGTCAGGCCCGGAGGTGGTAGCCGTTGGAAGCGGCATGGCGGAGGTGACCTGGTTGCTAGCAATGGGGCTAATCTGATGATGACAACAGCAGGCGACGGGTTTGGAGTAGCAGCGAGGAGGAAGTCAGCAGTGGCGTTTCCTAGTTCGCGATAAGGTGGAGCCTGTCTCCTCAGCTGCGGAGCAGAGGCCTGGCAACGAGGGCAGTTGTAGCCCAGGCGGTGGCTTTCATTAGGAGGAGACGAGGTGGAGGAGGTTGGTATGAGGTCGGGGAAGGAGATGATGCCTAGATATGTGTGATCCTAGTGGACGTGGGAGAGTGGGTTGGCACGGAGGAGATGAGGCCCCCGGCCGGCTGTGGAGACCTGGATGGAGGGCGGTCGATCTGACTAGATCGAGGCAAAGACGCTGGTTGGAGATGGCTCGGTGTAGGTGAAGGTTGAAGAGAATGGCTTCTCACTCCTCGCATAAGAATGAACCGAGAAGACGTGAGTGCGCAAGATTAGGAATGGAAGAGGATCCCTTCCTCAGTCTCATATGTTAGAGAGCGAAGATTACGGGGATGAGAACTCCAAAATTTTTTACAAAATATTTTCTTTATCGGTATTTCTAAGATAATATTTTAAAACAATTTACTAAATTCTCCATAATTATTTTTTTCGTTTGTGTCCTCGATAATTGTCATAAAATTTTATCCATAATCCTACGTCTATCCACCTGTCATATACATTTGCAATACTCGCATTGTTTCAAGTTAGGCCCACATGTCATACGTCCAAATATAGGATAAAGTTGTCCTTTTCTGATAAAATTATTTGTATTGTTGCACTTTTGTGAAATATAAAGCTAAAGTTATAACAAAGTGATAGTTTTGTTTAAATATTTGTACTTTTCTGATAGGCGTTCTCACTGTAACAAAAGAATTTTGGCAGCATATCACTCAAGAGTCAAGACTGAGTTTCAACAAGAATGAGAATTCTAGCATCACACGACTTCTAAGGCATTTCTACTTTATTTTTCCACATTATATACAAACACTAATTAATACCCCTATTTATAGACGACGTATATATCTTTCTAAACTAGCCAATTCTGTTGACAAGAAACAGTAATATATTCCTATCATGAAAGGAATCAAATAGCTTGATTGACAATCAGGGTTTACGATTTCGAGATGGCCTTCCATTTCGGATTTTGGCGGAATGATGGTTTTCACGAAATCCGGTGGAAAGCCAGTAGATTCCGAACAAATTTCATAAACCAAAATTTAAATACAAATTCCTTGAGTTACCGATAAGCTCGCGAAAACCGGTCGGCTTTGGCGAAATTCCAAGCGAAATCATCAAAATTTCAATCGATAAATAGAAAAAAGATAAACTGAAATTGTTTTTTTTAGTTCGTTATTCTTTTCTTTCCTACTGTAAATTTCAGTAAACACACAGAATACATCATTTTTTTTTCAAAAATTTATATCTCAATGGATTCTATGAATATCATACTACTATTTATAAGATTTTATTTGATTTTTTCCTTTTTTATCAATTCAAATTTGAATTTGGATGAAACTCATCGAAATCTCAGACGGCTTCTACTTTCGAGCCTCGTCGAAACCTCGAAATTTCGCGGAATTCGACCGGTTTTCATCGGAATTGTGAACCCTGTTGACAATACTGTCTACCTAGCAAACCTGATCCTCACAATACCAAATATTGAAATATAATCTACTCTTCCATTTTAAAATATAACCTTTCTAGCTATGAACTAGTGTCGGTGTTACAGATAAGACATACCTAATACTTATTTATTAGGCTCAATGAGAGCCACCATATACAAGTCTTATACGAAACCGTGCCTCATATATAGAAGGTGTTCCGGACGTGCAAGGAATGAGAAGTGGAGTTCTACTCAGGCATTATAAGGACTACTCGGATCATATGCATACTTGCATTCCTAGTTTTACTTGGACAAGAAGACAGAGGGTATAAATACAAGACTCTTAAGAGGAGAGGAGAGATGCCTACGAAGGTGAAGACAAGTCAATATAGATACAAACCCAATGTGGAACCACAAAGGCCAACATGAGGGATCTAGAGACATCTCCAATCTCGCCGAGTTCATATTTGAGGAAAAAGACTACACTAGCCGTCGATCATATGTGAGAGCTTCCTGCCGCTAGGCCGACAATAACTAAATTAGATCATCCCAACCATTATAATCGTGTGATACTAATATATAAAGGCAATCCTAAATTAGATCATGTAACTTTGGCCTTTGGGGCTCATTATTTAGCTCGGTTAGGAACGAGTTGGGCCAGACTGTTGTTTGGGTTGACCAAGCGGTAAAGCTAGTGCTCACCTAAGACTCAACTAATGATGATAGGTTTTTCCTAATTTTTTAATGGTGAAATAAGAGGCTATAAAGATAATTATAAGATAAGCCAATGACTCAAGCCTAGTTGTGTTAGGCTTCTCTCTGCTCCTAGGCTGACCCTCTCCTAGAATTTGTAAGTGCTTTGGTGGTTCATGATCTGAACCAACCGTTCAATAAAGAACGTTGTTGAAGATTAAGAGAGAGAATAATACGAGTCACTTCATCAGTTTCATTTAAACAAAGATGTACGTTACGAGAAACAATGTTATACTTCCTCCGTATCATATTATAAGTCGTTTAAATTTTCTCTTAGTCAAACTTTTTTAAATTTGATTAAATTTATAGGAAAAATATACTACATTTTCAATACAAAACAAACATATTATCAATATATTCAATGTTAAATTTAATGAAACTAATTTGGTGTTATATATATTGCTATTTTTTTATAAACTAGATCAAACCTAAACAATATTGACTAAGAAAAAAATCAAATGATTTATAATATGAAACGGGGGAGTGGTAAACAATAATATTAATTATATGATATTCTGATCCTATTCTACATATATGTAGTACTAGCAATTCAGGCACGCTAGCTGCCCGACCCAATCACTAATTATGTAGTAAATCACGCAATAACCTCCGATCGGCAACCAATGCAATTCTGCAACTGATTCTGCAGTATTTTATGAATTGATTTTCTTTTAATACATGTGGCGCATTTACAAGTGAAACCCTGTCACTATAAAATGATGATCAGGTGAATGGCGCGTAAACCCGGATGACTCTGCACCTTGTGCCTCTCTCTGTTCTGAATTCTGATGCTCCAAGTCCAAACCAACAGAATTCAGGTTAGAGATGAATAGTGATGTCTACTCTCGTTGGCTATCTAGACAAGCAAATATCCCAATAAGCTTATATATAGAAACGTGAGATTTGGAGTCGATTGCTAACAAATCCTGATTACTACTGGCCCAAAAAAACAGGTCTCATAATCCTTGCAATTATCCGTTACCATTATTTGTTCTTGCTAGCCACGCACCATTCTTTCTGACATTCTTTGATTCGTAGATCAAGCTTAGCGAATGATCTATCAAGTTTGTCAGGCGAGATGAAGCAAGTTCTGGCCCCCATAATAGCCTTGGTCATTGGAATTGGAACACTAGCTTTCATGGCCATTAGTCCTCAGGTTTGCCATGCTGCTGCAGGAGGAAGTGCTACTGTGGCGAGAAGCATCTTCGTCAGCAAGAAGGGTAGTGGTGCTGATTTCACAAGGATACAAGACGCCATCAACTCCGTCCCATTCGCCAACCGGCGGTGGATCCGGATTCACATCGCCGCCGGCGTCTACAAGTAACACATGCAATTTCATTCTTGTTCAAAGCATGCATTTTTCCTCTTCTGATGTACACTACTGATGAGTCTGTGAAATTGTGTAAGTGATTGTTAGGACCTATTCAGAGTCTAACAGTGATCTTTTGATATTAAATGAGCAATCGTTTTGATTGATCAGAGGTGCATGGATGACTTAAATCAAGACGGATTTTGTTTCGAAATTGGGAGTGCAGAAGATTTTGGTGATTATGATTTGATTGTTTGTGCTAATTAATTAATTTTGGTTTTGTGTCATTGGGTTTGGAAGGGAGAAGGTGAGCATACCGGCGAACAAGAGCTTCATCTTGCTGGAAGGCGAGGGGAGGCAGCAGACGTCGATCGAGTGGGCGGACCACGCCGGCGGCGGCGGCGGGGACTCCGGCACGGCCGACTCGCCGACGTTCGCCTCGTACGCCGCCGACTTCATGGCCCGCGACATCACCTTCAAGGTACGTACGTCGGTGCCACCACACGACGACGTACGACGAGGTGGTGACCGACCGTGTCGATCGCGCCATTGCTGCATGCAGAACACGTACGGGAGGATGGCGCCGGCGGTGGCGGCGCTGGTGGCCGGAGACCGGTCGGCGTTCTACCGGTGCGGCTTCGTGGGGCTGCAGGACACGCTGAGCGACCTGCTGGGGAGGCACTACTACGAGCGCTGCTACGTCGAGGGCGCCGTCGACTTCATCTTCGGGGAAGCCCAGTCCATCTTCCACCGCTGCCACATCTCCACCGCGGCGGCGGCGGCGCCCGGGTTCATCACGGCGCAGGGCCGGAGCAGCGCGTCCGACGCGAGCGGGTTCGTGTTCACCTCGTGCACCGTCGGCGGCGCCGCCCCGGCGTACCTGGGCCGCGCGTGGCGTGCCTACGCGCGCGTCGTGTTCTACCGGACAGCCATGTCCGCCGCCGTCGTCGGCCTCGGCTGGGACGCCTGGGACTACAAGGGCAAAGAGTGAGTCTTGAGTCATGCACTACTAGAAAAAGTATTTTCGCGGGAAAAATAGGTCTTCGAGGTGGACGCCGGCTCCGCCTGCAAAGATCGTTTTCGCAGGCGGCACCTTATGTTGTATGCCTGCGATAAGCTGTCTTCGCAGGCAAACGGCCAACTCCTCCTCGGTAATCATTTTCGTCGGCGGGATTTTCGCTCCGATGGCCATATCCGCCTGCGAAAAAAAAAAGCCTAACAACGGTGAAAATGTTTTTTCTAAGTAGTGATGGTCATCGCCGTCGTCGGTGCATGATCGGAAGTGGCTGATTGCTACGTGGATGCGTGCAGGGAGACGCTGGAGATGGTGGAGTCGGGGTGCACGGGGCCGGGGTCGAACAGGACGGGGAGGGTGCCATGGGAGAAGACGCTGAGCGGGGAGGAGCTCGCCAAGCTCGTCGACATCTCGTACGTCTCCCGCGACGGCTGGCTCGCCGCTCAGCCACGGTAGCTAGCGCTCAACATGGGGATTGCAAATAAAGTGTTTTTTTTCCAGAGAACAATTGCTAATTGCACAGGAATAGGGAGCTTTGGGATCAGTCTGATGGAGGTACAACTGTAGAAGCAGGAAAGACATGCAAATTTTATTTTATTTTTAATAGCAAAAATGATGCCTATCGAAGTGGCACATTGACAATCACAAACATTACAACACTCTCCACGACCGGTGAACACATTAGCATCAGACTAGATTTTTTTTTTCGTTGAGAGAATCGATAGTACACGATGATACAGTAAATTTCCAATATCCCCCATGTTGTCCTAATGGTTCTTGCTTTGACAAAAATCAGGAACAGATCTCAATTTGCAACTAACTTGAAACACGCAACAACAGCGGTCACCGGTGACCCCATTCTTCTCCCCCTAGTTTCATCGGCGTTCACTTTTATGCAATTTCGCTTGACCTTTTGAAGTGTGTACAAAGCTGGAATATCTAGGTAATATTAAGAACAACCGAGTCTTCACTTGGTGTAGAGGACATCCTCCCATGGGTGGCGGTAGAGTGGTTGCTTGAGCCTCTTCTGGTCAAAGGTGTGCCTGCGAACCAAGCGACAAATTTGATCAGCTATGTGGAAATTACAAAAGAAACTATGACTTAACAAAACGGACGTATCTCTATAGTCTATACCATTTATTCTAATGTTAAAGGAAGCAGCTAGAAGATAACATTCATATAGATATACCCACTCAATTGGAATGCAACAAGAATGAGACTCACCCGATGAGACCAATTGAACGCGCAAGCACAAAGAGTCCATTAAGGTAACCAATCTCAACAATCTCATCGATTTCTTGTTTGCTGAACATTCCACTGCCAGAAAGAAGATCCAAGAAAAGCGACCCAATCGCACCATCGACGTTCAGAACCAAATTGTTGGCTTTTGACAGGGTGTAGGTCTCAACCTGGACAGCATACTCCATGTATTTGACAGAAGGGAAATGTGTGTGGGCATATTTCTGTAGAAGCTGCACTCTCTTATCTCTGTTGTCTCTGCTCTTGATCCTAATAATCAAGAAAGGCGAGTGAAATTTGAGGAAATCTATTCTGGATGAAGGATTCTTAGGAAATGTCATGTCAAGCAAACAGATAGAACATACCTGTGACCAATCCCAGGGACACGGATTCCCTTCTTTTTCATACCCTCAACGAACTCATAAGGTGTGAGATTCTACAAGCAATTGATGCATACCTATTAGAGCAACTATGCAAACGCAGGAAACATGGCGATGATGTAGCAAAGGGATAGGAAATAAGTTGGCTCACTCTATCATATGCATCTTTGAAGTACCGGGCAGCATCATCAATTGCACCACCAAAACGGGGGCCAATTGTCAATAAACCTGCAATATTTCAATAGCAATCTTCATAACCTATGCTGTAATATATTCAAACAACTTAACGGACAATGTTTACATGTACATGTAGAAGAAGCTCACCAGATACCAAGCTGGAAACAAGGTCCTTTCCAGCCCTAGCAGTAACTATAGAATTGTGAGCACCGGATACACAAGGACCATGATCAGCGCAAAGCATGATGCACATCTGTCAAGACACATGAAATCCTTCTAGGATCAAATGAAGACTAAATGACTATCATTCAAAAAATAGATTATCCATATCATATTTTACCAATTGTTTACCTCAATAAACTGAGTGCAGTAACGAGGAAGACTGCGCTTGAACCACAAAAGCGAAATAACGTCACCAACTCCATAACCCTGTTCAATAATTGTAGACATGGGGACACCAGCATAGCAGGGTTCCTCGCCTGTATCACAAAAATGCACCTATATTACTTCCTGGTAGGGATAGTATGACAAAGATTGAACATGGAGAATATGTGGAAAAACACATTGCCACCAATCTAACCTCTGTCATCCGAGATAGTGGAGATAATGTGTGTGGGAGCTCGGACCTTCCCACTCTTAATTGCGGTTTTAAGATCCTCTGGAATAGGAGGTGGTGTAATCTCAGTAACAGGAGAGATCTTTCCGTCCTCAACCTGGGAAATACATTTAATTTCAGAGGCTTGATACTCACAATAAAAATTCTCAAAAAGGTTAAAAAGCTTGAAAGACACTGGCCATGACATGTAATCAGTGTTTTCAAGTCGTCCGATTAGTCGCGACTAATCACGATTAGTCGTCCTTATCGCTACCCTGACCTCAATCAGGAACTTCGAAGCGATTAGTTCCACCAGAAAAACTTATCGTCCGACTAATCACGACTAGTCGATCAAATTAGTCGTGGACGACTAGTCTGTTAGGGCTAAAAATATGTGTTGGACTTTACACTTCAGTGGCAGGCCATTTGCCCAGCCCAAGAAGGCCTGTACCCCTCATCTAACCCTAACCAGCCATTGAAAATCTTATTATCCTTAGTTTGTACTATACTATACTAGTATACTATGGTAATTAATACTTATAAACATCTATACATTATCCTGGATACCCCTAGCCTATAGTCACCGACTAATCTACGATTAGTCGTGACTAATTGCGATTAGTCGACTAGTCGGTGCCCTTACGACTAGTCCCGACTAGACGACTTGAAATCACTGCATGTAATAATAGTACTGCTTACCAGTTTCTCAAATGTCTCCTTGATCGCAGTTTCAAGAGCTTCATATGAAGTAGGGACAACTGCCCCGGCATCTTTTAGTGCCTGGTTCTTAGCTTGTGCTGATTCCAACTCACCACCACTTTTCGCACCCTGTTGGGCCAATAAATTAATTCAGATGAGCACTTAAAATACTGTTCAACACAGAAATTACTGAAAAGGAACAGTTTCAGACTTACAGCATGGCCAAACTGCACTTCAGACTTGAATAGACGAGCGCATGTCCCACTAACCCATGCAACAACAGGTTTCTGAACCTTTCCTTGTTTCAGGGCTTCAACAAGAGAATACTCATCTTTTCCTCCAAGCTCCCCAAGAACAACCATCATTTTGACCTAATTCCAATAAACATGGTGCACGATGAGATGTTATTGATACAGCAATGCTCCAAGAATCCAGACGTGGTTTACATAAAATGCATGGATGGCATTTTGAGGAAATATTACTTGCATGCTGAGCAATCCACATGTCTAAATTTATATATGGCTGAGTGGGTGCAAAGGCAATAAAGATAGAACAAGATTATGGTAAAGGAACTGTCTCAGGAAAAAAAAAAGAAGCTAATGAGTGTGACCAAAAGAACTAATTCCAACATTTATCTGATTCAAAAGCAAGATATAAGTTGATCCCTTGATGCAGAGTTGCATGACAAAGATACCAAATAAATGCCCTAAAAGAACGATTGCACTAACATTTGTGTAGAAGATGTTCAAATGTTAACATTCAAACCTGAGGTATGTTGTTGAAACGCAGGATGTGGTCTGACAGAGTTGAGCCAGGGAAAACATCCCCTCCAATTGCAATTCCTGAGTATGTTAAAAAAGAAGTTAGCATAGGTTCAATATTCATGAGATAACCCAATGCAGAAATGTTTACATATATCTATAAACCAGTTACCTTCATAAATACCATCTGTCACTCTGGCAATGGTGTTGTACATCTCATTTGACATGCCACCCTGTTAATGTAATGCAAGTTCAGTTTGTCATTGGGGTTACATATGAGCATTACAATGTACGTTAAGAGCTAAGATGTGAAGTTGCATGTGTACAGATTAAAAGGTCAGATATTTAACAGATCAAAAGTTGGTAGTGCTACAAATGTTCTTTTTTAAAAATAGAATATTGCCTTTTTATGGATCAGAAATAGTACGGAAGGTAAATTTCTTTTGTACAAACAACTTTAACAAAAATCAAATAAATGCATACCGATTTAGAAACAAAGCCAACAGATCCAGGCCTGTAAAGCTTGCATTGAATAATGTTGTCAATGGTTCCAGCAGTATCACCAATCTTGAAAGCACCAGCTTGGATTCCTCCAACTGTTGCTGGTCCAATGATTACCTAGAAACAACAACAGTTACTTGGTAAAATAAACGAGAAACATGCAGGCCGCCGTCAGCGTTAGTGCCTGGCAGGCAATAAAATAGCATGCCAACACCAATATCTGGAATGGACAAAATACCACCATTGTGTTTACATATTATTTTATAAGGAGACAGTAATTTATTCATATTTAATTTGTAAGACTTTTACGGCGAGAATCTGGTGCAAATATCATGTTTGCAAAGCAGTTAAATTCATGCAAGGCATAATCCCTACCTTGTTGTTGGCACGTGCATAACTAATAAGTTGTTTTGTATCTGATTCAGGAACACCCTCTGCTATGATGGCTACAACTCTGATTGTTGGCTGCTTCAAAGCTGACATTGAAGAAGCGGCAGCACTGCAGATTAAGCAAATAAAAAACACTTGTAGTTGTTCTAGGATCATGTGGTTTTTGCTCAAAGGAATATCAGAATGCTAACTAACCTCCGAAAGGATGCAAAGTTGATAAATACATCAGCAGTTGGGTGTGCATTGCAGGCAGCTTCAATTCTGCAAAAATATAAATGAGTATAAATAAATTGTTTACAAACGAACAATCTGTTAATGTACACATGAACTTATATGAGGAGCAGAGCACTCACGTAGGATGAACTGGAATGGCAATTTCTTCTTGTCCAAAGAAAAGTTTCTGAAACCCATCAGAACCAGGATTGATTATTCCAGCAACAGAAGGTGTTTCTCTCCCTATAAAGCAGAGTAAGGTCAGCAAGCAAGAAGCAAAAAAGAAACAACGTGCAACATTTCTTAGCCAATATTGATAAGACAGACAGCGTACCACATAGGAAGTCAAAATCAAGCATCCGTTGGATCGGAAGTTGCTTATAATTATAGAATAACGCTTGGGTGGTTTTGGAGAAAATTTGACCTGTCGCCATGGTTTAGTTCGCCTGCAAACAAAATGCTATTAGCATATGATAGAATATACTAACTAGATCAGAAACCACAAATCTCCTCATAAGTCTTAAACTATCACAACACAAATGTAGTCATGTTATCATAGTAACTAAGGGTTTGGATTGATGCCATGGCTTAATGAAATGACATAGCATGCTAATGTTAGATTCACATGCTTACATAAACTCCTACACTATGCACAACATTCCACTGGCAAATATAAATAATTTACTGTTAAAACAGGGCCTAGAGACATAACTATAGTAGGTATGGAAAATACATTCGAGTGTGATCCTGGGACCTATAGAACACTTCTTAGCATCCCAGCAACTATTGGAATAAGTCAAATACTCATACTTATAACTTATCCATGCATGATCTTTATGAGAGAATTACAAAATATTAAAAAGAACACATCGTTTTTGTGAATCAAGAATCCTCACAGTCTGTGTTATCATTCATAGACAATGTTTGTGGTTACATTAAGTTTGGTTTTTGAACCACTCAACTCAGATCACAAGTGATACTTGAACAACATCAAACAGGAAAACTTTCAACAGAACGAAAAAAAAAACACAGAAAAGATTAAACAATGTGGTACGGGCCCCCTGAACAAAAATGAGACCCACTGGTTCTCAACAACCTCAGAAAGACAATCATATGACAGAATTGGCTAAAAACTATAACACACCTACTGAAATTCTTAGTCAATACAAAATCCTCCTAAAAAATGACAGCATCAAACGCAAAAATACTTAGCCCAACTATCAGTTTGGTTTACAAATATCAGGCATTAGCTGTATCTCGCGCATCCTACTAAAGCTGGAAAACAGATTGCGGGATATAAGTATATAAAATCAAGGTGCACAAATCTATACAGAGCACCGGATCTGCAAAATGTTGCACCAGAAATTCAATTATCATCGTGGCGCACTTCACCTACCTAAAGCAAGCGAATATACCCAACAATGAGCAAACTGATCCAATCATATTTTTACCTCTAAGGCTTAGCAGTCATGATGAGAGTCACACTCCCAGTAAAAACTACAACTAACAACATAACCAACCAAACCGAATCTGAAATTTAACTCTATAAACCCCACGAATCTTAGCCCTGCCATTGCAAACTCCCAAACCTATCAAATCCAACAGGGCCAAACCACGAGATCTCCTCAGATCCATACCAAAAAAAGGAGCCCAAATCCCCCAGTAGCCGACAAACTCTCGTAAAACCACTCATAACGACACATCGACTTCGACCCCCCTTTGATGTCAAAACCAGGATCGCGCCATTTCCCGGACGAATTCAGATCAGACACGACAAAGCAGGGCCATTCCCTCCCCCCACACAGAATCCCAAACCCCCCCCCCCCCCAGCTTAACCACCTCCCCCACGATACGACCGAGATCCCCGCGAGGGAGACGAGCGATCCCGCCCGCGCGAAGCAGATCCCAGGCAGATCCGCGCCCACCAGGGGATCCGGCGCGCCAGCTGTTCGAGCAAATGCCTGACAGAGCAGCAAGAGCAGCAGAGGAGGAGAACGAGGAGTGCGTGGGCAGGGCGGGCGGGCATGGAGGCGGAAGCTTGCTCACCTGCGGAAGCGAGGGCGGAGGGGAGGAGCCGGGAGGCGGAGGAGGAATTCTCCGGCGAGAAATCAAAATTAAGTTTGGAGTAGCGGAGACGGGAGAGGGGGAGGAGGAGGAAGGAGGCGGAAAGCGGAGGAGGACTTTATAGTGGCGGGTAGGGGGTTGGGTTGGATGTGAAGTAGGCGACGCACTTCCCATCTACTACTACTACTACCCACACAGCACAACAACAATTGCGCCGTGAGCAATTTGTGTGGACCGGGTCCATATGAGCCGTAGGTGTAGTGATGGACTAATGATAACTGTAAAAACAGAGTTACTCCCTCCGTCAAAAAAAAAACTCAAGGGTTTGTGACTCTTCCTAGGACAATGAACCCGTCAAAAAAAAACTCAACCTAGAATGGTTTATGACTCTTCCTAGGACAATAAATCTGGACAAAGGGTAATCCAGATTCGTTGTCCTAGGAGGGGTCACATTCCCTCCTAGGTTGAGTTTTTTTTGGACGGAGGGAGTACTCTCTCCGTCGAAAAAATCCAAAAATAAAAACATTTCTAGTATTGGAGGTGATTCCTGAAAAAAAAAGTATTGGAGGTGACATTTTCAAATATAATAAATCTGGTTAACATTATATTCAAATTCATTATAGTAGAAAATGTCACATCTGATATTAGGTTGTTTTTTTTTTGAGGAGGGAGACAAGATTAGCAATGGAGTAGGGATCATTATTTCACCCCTTCATTACTCTATCCAGCCACAAAAATACGCTGTTTAGATATCTATGTATTCTTTAGTAATAGTACAATTTTGGCCATCAATATTACTGTTTTAGTTAGAATGTAGTTTATAAAGTTGAGTCATACTATAGTACTCTTTCCATTTTTAAAATATAATTCGTATTTTGTTTCGTTTTGACTAGACTTTAAGCAACAATTTCACTATTATTATATTGGTAAAAAGGCATAATTATACCTGAGTACTTTGGAATATAAGTACAATAAATTTAATTTATATCATAAAATTTTTATTTTTAGTAGAGTAGCTGACTAACTATTAGTTAGTAAAAGTCCCGATTTGTCACTATTACAAGTGACAATTAAGAATTTATCACTAGACCCATATATTATAGACACATTTTTTTAGATAATGACATGTCATAGACACATGAGGACCCACATGTCATAGACTATGAGTGACAAATCCTTAATTGCCACATCTTAAAAGTGGAAAATAGTTGCATGCCCCTTTATCCTAACGAAACAAATTTTGCATTGTATTTTGAAAAGGAGGGAATATTACATAACTATTTTGGGCATGTTCGGTAGTTCTAATTGGCAGCCAGCTGCTACAGTGAAATACATAGAAGATTAATGGCAGCAGCTGCTGCGGTTGCACAGCCGTTGTATAGGAGTGCCGAACAGAATATCCAATTTATACAAAATAGATAAAGTTTGCAGTTTTTTGCATAAAGATTTATGTATATGCAACACAAAACTAATGGCATAGCTTAACATTGTTGAAACATACCCACCTTACTACTACTTCATCTGGTTTTAAATGTACGGTGCGTTGTTTTTTTTTAAAAAAAAAAGCTGGCTATTTGTCTTTTCTAAAAATATATATGTAAATAGATAAATGTATAAGGCACTTAAAGTATTTCTACGATAGTTCTGGTGGTATTTTTTAAAAACTTTAAAAGGTGAAAAGTTAAAGGTGACGTAAGGGATAGCGTATCAATATAAAATTTTTAGCTTAAAGTAATGCGATGTGTCAATTTCAAAATTACACCTATCACTATACAACTATATTAATACATTCTTTTTTTTCTGATAATTAAATCAATAAATCACGGACATTTCACCAATAAGGTGCGCCCATACCATACATCCACATTACCAAACGATCAAAGAGAGAAGGGGAGAAAAAAACAACATGATCAAATGAAATCGTCAGGCGTACCATACCGGACGGTCTATGCGTTGGGTTTACATAGGTCGCACACACTACACAGCTTTTGACGGGGGGAGATCGGCCTGGTCGGACCGGAGCTACCACAGGGTGCCGTGCCGTCAGCACGTGCCGACTGCGTGCGGGCGTGTCAGGTTAAGGTCAGGCGCCCGCGGAGGCGGAGCCAAACCAACAAACCCCGAGTGCGTCCAGACCCGTAGCTCACTGCAGCGTGGGCCCAGCGGAACGGAAGAAAAGATGGGCCCCGCATGTCAGTGGCACGTAGTGGGCGGAGCGTGAGCGATCGGTTAGGTCGCGCGCTTTTAATCGGGTGGAGATCCCGAGGCCGGGCAGGCTCGTCTGGCTGCGGTCTCTGAGCGGGCCCCACCTGGCAGTGGCTCGTAGGTAGGGGGTGGGGTGGGGTCCAGCCAAACGACGCACCTGCATCGTCGTCACTCACAGGCGTCCAATTGACACCAACCGTTTGTATGGGTGTGTGCATTGCCGCGGTTTTGGTGCATGGCTGCAAGGTTGTCATTATCCGTATCGTGATTGTATGATCTCTAGGATCCTACAAAATTATTATCTAAAAACAAGATGATTTAAAAATAGTCTAAATGAATATGCTCAAGTTTATATAAAAATTATTTAAATTTATCAAAATTAATATTATATGCTTTACTTTATACAACATATTATATATTTTATATACAAATATGTATTTTCTAAAATCTGATAGTATCCTGATCCTATAATGCTACAAATAAAAACGATCCTACGTAGTATTCCAATATTGATTACCTTGCATGGGTGTGCCAAATCAACCCTTTCAAAATTTATTACTGTCTTAGTCTCTGCACTTATTTTGGAATGGAGGGAGTAATATCATAATTTTTAGTAAGTTGATAGCACTGTTCGCATAATAGGATAAATGTAATTGTTATCTTTTTTTTGCATTACCAATGTTTGATAACAAACTAAATGCGGTTATATATTTGTCAATTTCATCCAACAATGATATGGTTTAAAATAACACCAATCTAAAAAAGGTCCTAAATGAGATATAAAAGATGATTTTTACGGTGTGATTTATATATTATTACTCTTAATATTATCTAAAAAATATTACTCTTAACAGTTTAAAAGCAAAGACAAATAAAATAAATAAACATAAATAATACTCCATTTAGCTATATACGGTTTATAAGTTAACAGGCAAACGATGAATGGTACACGTAGGTTGCGTTCAGATCTCCAACAAAAAGTTTGATGAAAATTTTGATATTTGTGGCATGCTTTTCAAACTGCTAAACGTGTGTTTCGTGTGAAAACTTTATATATGGAAGTTACTCTAAAATATTAGATAAATCTTTTTTTAAGTTTGTAATAATTAAAACTCAATTATCATACGTTAATACCATCTTGTTTTGCGTAAAACACTTAGGCTGCGTTCGTTTGTGTGATATAGGGTGAGAAAGCATATCTTTTTCCGTGCGCACGTTTCCAAAACTATTAAACGGTGCATTTTTTGCAAAAAATTTCTATAGGAAAGTTGCTTTAAAAAATCATATTAATCCATTTTTAAAATTTAAAATAGTTAATACTCAATTAATCATGCGCTAATGGCTTATCTCGTTTTGCGTATCTTCCCAATCTTCCTAATCTCCTTCTCCTCAAACACACCCTTAATCGTCATTTTTATCTTTATTTACGTGAGTTTCAAACATCACCGTAGTATTTTGTTATACGATTTGGTTAGCCTGGGTCGAGGTGGTGTGGCTGTATGGTCAAGTTGCAAGGATCGATGTAAACTATTTTAAATCACCATTACATAACTATTCCTATGGCCGATTATACTATTAGGCATTAGCATGATCTCCTGATGACTTCAGTATGGGTCCATAAGATTATGGATGATTACGTAGAGATAACAAAATTAATGGTGACCTCCACGTTGGTTTTGAAGGAATAATATAATGAGGCGAAACTAGCTAGGTGCCAAAGCCAGGCAAGTAAATTATCTATATATATATTACTAATATATTATGCTGATTATAAGCCGTACCGCATATTAGAAAAAAAATTGTGGCCAAAATTTTTATATATATGTATCTTCCTTAGTGATTTAAAAACAATGGTGAAAAATATACACTCTAAACAGTTTTAATTTTACAATTCAATTTTCCGTTGCTTATATATATAAAGGATAAACAATTGAGCATTCGGACTATAACATCAATTCGTTTGCTTGGTGCCCGACACCCGCTGAAACTGACCAATATTAAACTGCAACTGGCCTACATCGTCCAGTCTTTTATTTTTGTCCTGCTGGAATTCCTGGTGTTGAAACGTAAGATACCTCATCATCAGCCGGCCGGTCGGTCTTTCGTTAAGAACAATGCAATCTGACCGATCGATCAAAGCCCATGAGCACTTGAACAGCGACGTATCAGTCGCAATCTGGTTGTTAATTTGGTGGATACCTAGCTAGCTGACACACTCTCTAATTCGACGCTAACTCCCAACAAAATCAGTAGTTGTACTTGTACATACTCCATATGCGTTGCAGCTCCACGTTGCATTCCATCAGCTAGCTCTCACCTAATTACTACGTAATAATTAGTAGTATCGCCCTTTTCTCGTTGGAATACTGTTTGGCTATAAGTTGGGTTGGCTGTTGGTTGGCATATGCATATGGACCCCGTTTGGTTGTTTTACCAGCAATACTACTACAGTCCCTTTCTCCCTTTTTGTTCCTTTGAACTTTTGTTTTGCAGAGCCTTCAAGTCAAAGCAAGTCGAAAGAAATGTCTCATGAGAGGACAAAGAAAGAGTGGTGATGGTAATCGGTTAGTTATGGGGGCATAGGTTACTTAATTAGGCTGTGGGATCATATGTCACTGGGAGAGACACTACTATAGAAACTATTTTTCTGGGTGAGACCCACATTAGTTTGCAGATGGACCGTAATTGATCGCGTCTGCAAAAATCAATTTGTATTTTTTAGATACGACTTTTTAAGAGGCTTATATGCAAAAACTGATTTTCGCAGGCGGACATCATGATATGCCCGCATATGAAAATAAACATATTTTCGCATGCAGGCCATTAACAGGTCTACCTAAAAAAGTCCAACGACCTCCCTCCACCTTAGAAAATCTAACCGGTCACTTATCCTTATCATGTTTTCTCCTCATTCTTTCTCTCCCCCACTCCTCAACTCCGGCTCTCCCACTGCTCTCCTCTCTTTCTCAGCCCTCTCTCTCTCTCTCTCATGGCTCCAATGGTTGAGGAGCGGTGGCGACGGCAATGGAGGAGATCGCGACGACGACGACGACCGAGTGGGCCTCTCCGTCTCCCTCGCGGATCCACCGTTGGCTAGCCTTGAGAGGAGTGGATCAGACGGTGGCGGTGCTAGGGGAGGCGAATCCGATAGTGGTGGGCAGGAGACGTGACAGCGGTGGTGGGGAGGCGCGGCGGTGGAGGATCCGACTCCCCATCCCGCGCGGCGACGGCAATGAGGACGAGCGGTGGCAACAACGGGAGGGGCGAACCCGGGGCCCCCTCCCTCTCTTGTGCAAATCTCCCTGCCCCTACCACGACGAGGACAACGGCGACGATGTGGACGGCGGCAACAGCTTTGAGCAATGACGACGAGGACGAGGACGGCAGCGACGGCTTCTAGGGTTATGGTTTCGTGAGTTTTGAATTTTTATTTTTTTTCGAAACTTTATTTTTGTGTGAGGACAACATAAGCACCCGCACGCAAAAATAGTGATTTTCAGACACCTTCGGGCAGATGTGCCAAAGATCCGCACGCAAAAATCTCTTTTGGTCGTCTAGAAAAATTGTTTCTGTACTAGTGAGAAACAGTGCATGAGTATAGTGACATGTTACGAATTTTTAGTTAGAAAAAGAAGTTGTTGAAAGCAAAACCATATATATAAACCACATTATTGTATAAAACAGTAACTAGCCCGCGGTATCCTATCGTGGGACAATATAGGTTACAGACATGTCCCCATGTGTTTCTGAATTGCCCTGGCTCTAAGTACTACTAGCTCGTACTCCCTCCGTCCTATAAAAAATCAACCTATTATCGAATGTGACACATCCTAATACTACAAATCTAAATATAGATCTGCTCATATTTATACTATTAGGATGTGTTACATCCAGTTCTAAATTTATTTTTTATGGGACAATGGGATGGAGGGAGTAGGAACCAAGCCAACTCTCAGTGGAACAAGTGAGTTATTCGGCCACTTATTTGGCCCATCCTAGCAGGCACACTAGGCCATGCCTGCCCTCATGCTCTGGTTGAGCAACGTGCCTACACTCCTAACGGAGTTAGACCTGTCCAGAGGGACGGGGGCATCTATAAAAATTTTAGTTTTTGGTGAAGTACGGCAGCTGCATTGGCTCTCTTGCCACACAATTATGTTACTGTTGCACTGTTCATGCGCTTCCTGGTCGTCCGATGCGCTAGGTCTTTTGCCTGCTAATTCCCCATCGTTCTTTCCCGTCCTTGTAGAACCACGCCGCCGGTGGTTGCCATACGCCCGCACCATCATCTGCTCGCTAGAGGACAATAGGAAATCCATGTCGCCGCCGCCTTGGTCGCCGTCGATGTAAATCTCGGCTCGCCACCGTCTCCTCTGTCGCCGCCGATTCTAAAGCTCAGGACGCCGCCGGCGCCACCACCACCGCTACCGCTGGCGCTGTCGTTCTGAGGTTGGTTCACCATCACCGCTCGAGACTCCTCCCTCACTCATCAAAGCCTCTCAAAGGTTTTTCGCTACCACTTGAAGGTCTTCTTCCTGTTATCCCTTGGTCAACTAATCAGTGATTAATATATATGGCAGTTGCGTTGCCGCCTGCAGCTCGCTGGACGATTATACGATGAGCCACCAGGCCCCAAGCACCTCAAGCCCTGGCCGGAGCGTCTAATCGATAGAAAGTAATCGTCTGAATCTTCGATCCTCTTTGACTGTTGGCAGACTATTTACTCTACTATTCCCTTTTCTTGCTGCTTGCTGCCAGCTGCCGTGATGGCCTGCTGCTACCAGCATTCATAGGCTGACATCAAGATCGTCTAGGTTGCCTGCTTCTCTTTTGCTTGGGCTAATGCTGGTGTTCACCAAGTTTGCATTTAGTAAACCATATTTTGTTTAGTGCTTGCATTTTCTACATGACATCAAGCAGAAATTTAGGCCTACTAAGCTCGAGGACTACATTAGGTAAAAGTTTGGAAGAGAATCGAATTATTACAGGTCAGAAATTGATATTTGGACTGCACCTAAGCTTATGAGATAGAAAATTATCTGTGCCTGTTGTTTTTCTGTATCTCATATGAAATGTAGCTCAAACCTTTTTTACGTGCTTTCACCATTGCTTTGACACTAGGAATGAGGTTTGAATTTGGGAATGTTTTTTTTTGCTTCATTTAATGAGAAATCAGAAATTGATATTTGGACTGCACCTAAAGTTATGAGATAGAAAATTATTTGTGCTTATTGTTTTTCAGCATCTCATATGAAATGCAACTCAAACCTTTTTTATGTGCTTTCACCATTGCTCTAACATTAGGAATGAGGTTTGAATTTGGGAATGCTTTTTTGTTGCTTTATTTAATGAGGATTCAAATATTCCCACCTCCTAATTAGCGAATAAGAAAACTAAAGATATAATTTCCTATTCTACATTGACAATGCAAGAAACTCACCAATTGGAATGAATTTAGACGTCAATGACCTGATAGATTATTTTCTTAAACTATTTAGATCAGACTAACAATAAGAGTTTTACATAAGTGAACATGGTGTGGATATAGAACATCCAATGTAGTGTCAGAGGATCATTTCCATCCAATGATTATGTCCTCTTTTTTTCCACCCGAAATGTCCTACCAATAGATTGCACATGTAATTATTGTTCCTATTAGCTTCTATTACTCAGGTTTTGTGGGCTGCTCCTCTTCATGACTTCCCTTCCTTGCTATCTCTTCGGATATTCATATTTCGTTTACACCCATTTACAGGTCAGTCCAGACAATGATGGCTGAGAGTATTGATAACAACCGGTTGGTTTCTGGGGAGTGCATAGACATAACATCATCTAAGCTTCCAGTCGAATCTATTCTCTACAGTCCAGGATGCAAGCGGAATTGGAATAACCTTTGTTGAGCTATTTAAATTAGACTATCAATAAAGGTATAAAATACAAATCATCCAATGTTGTCTCACGAGGATCATTGTCATCTACTGATTGCATATGCTAATATTGTAATGTATCCTGATTTATTTTAGCGGTTCTACCGATATGCTTTTATAATTGTTATCCTGCCTTTTAGCTTCTATAACTTGGGTTATATATGCTTCTGCTCTCCATGTCTTTCCTTGATTCCTTCCTTGCAGACTGATGAATTATTCATGCTTTGACACATCCATCTACAAATCAGGTCATACATCAATGGCTGAGAATAGTAGCAAGAACCCGTTGGTTTTGGATGAGTGCATAGTCTCAGCATCATGTCCGAGTCCAGTCCAATCTATTCTTTGTGATCCAGGACGCAAGCGAAAGGTCCCTATGTTAGACCAGCAATCCAAAGGTCTGCTAACAATCAACATATCATAAATTCATTACCTTTTGTTTTTGATTCTATGGTGTTATTTTTCTGCCTCTACCAGAACCTGATCTTGCAATTTTGGTCTATATTAAAGGTGCCTTTTGTGCTGGACAATTTAGTCAGACAACACCCTTTGTTCCAAATGTATGCAGAGATAAATTTGTCTCAACATTTAACCTACCATCAAGGCGAGCAGTTAGGCACAGGCTGATGTTTGGTTCTGATAATGCACCCAACACGACAAGTGATAGTTCTCCCGGTATTATCAATCTCATTTCTGGTGGCCCAACTCTTGCTGCCGATGAAACCTTTTGTGGTGAGCTTTGCATTAAATTGTGCCTTCTTTGATTATTTCACTAATTTCTCTCTGTATTTATGGGTTATATATATGTTCATATTGACCTCAATTCAATTAACATGCTCATCCCTTGCTCTGCGACTGTGACCATTATCGTTATGCTCACACACTCTAAGTTACTCCCAGATTTACATACATATGTTATATTCTATTGGTCTCAGGTTTGCCACGGCCACAACCATGTGTTGCTGCCGAGTCGCGTAGAAAACGTAAGGCGGCCATGATTCACAAGAGAGGCGAAAGTAAAATACATTATTCTACATTGATAGGCTTTTATAGAAGCTTCTTTTTGTTGATTTTGTACAACTTTTGTTGGTGTTACAGAGTTATGTCCTGCTATTTACTCCCCTTCATCTCGATCTGTTTGGCGTCGCATAATCCCAAATGATAATGTTGTACGCCAACAATGCCATACACAGCTACAGCAGCAGAATCTGTCCTCGGCTTCTCACCAAGGTGCTGATAGTGGCTAATTGATTTCTTTTCAGTTTTCTGTGATCCACTCCGATGACATCAAATTGTTTCCTCAATTCTTGTGGGTATCTTTTTCTTGCTACCAGATCCTAGGCAACCATTTGCTGGTCGCCACCAATGTAAGTTTTATTATTTTGCCAATCTTTATGTTGTCATATCCATCAATTTTTTTAGCACATCAGGAACATAGATGATATGTGTGTTTCCAATATGCCTAGGGGATATATCTCCTCATTTTGCCTCAAACTCACAGTTAGCTTTACTCAACAGCATTCGCCTACATACACCATGCTTTTCGACTCCGCGGTTCTGTCTTGATGTTTGCTCTATGATCACTCTGCTGCTTGCCAAAGAGGTTTCGTCGTAATGATAATTGCCACGGCTCAGCTGATACATGCCAATGGCGCTTATGTATGGTGATGAGAACATACCATATTGTTCATTAAGCTGTCACATATTTTTATCCATCTTACTTTTTTATTTATGCATTTTTTTTCTCTCAGGCACTATTTTTTCACCTTTACATCTTGGAGGACCTAACTAGACATGCCAGTATTGTGGTGCTCTCTTTTGGTATGAGGAGCGTGTGCGTGGTCAAGGACGGGTAGCTTCGCCTGTGTACAACAAATGTTGTAGGGGAGGAAGTGTTCACTTAGCACCATACAAGCCACCTCCAGAACCATTGCTCAGTTTGTTGACTGGACAAAACCCTGCATTATCTGCCCACTTCTTTGATAATATTAGGCGTTACAACTCTATGTTTGCTATGAGATCTATGGGCTTGAACATCATAGGGTCTATTAATGATGGAGGAGGACCTTATGTTTTCAAGATTAGTGGGCAGCTATGTCATTGGATTGGATCTCTAATTCCAAGAGATGGCGCTAGACCAGAATATTGTCAGCTATACATTTTTTATACTGAAAATGAGGTTCAGAATAGGATGGAAGTTCCATGCATTAGTGGTGGTTTTAAACCAAATGAAAATGTCATTTCGTCTCTGATGAGGATGTTTGATGATCACAACCCAATTGTGCAAGTGTTCCGGACTGCTCGGGATAGATTGTCTGACCAATCAGAAGACAGGTATTATGTCAAGCTATTTGTTGTGCCCAATCAACATGGTGGTGTGTATAGTGCCCCTGTTGCATCTGAGGTTGTTGGGTTGGTGGTGGTTAATGATTTAGGAACCACTAATGAAGGCTGTGATTTAATAATACAAGACAAGGCTTCTCATCTACAAAGGATAAAAGAATCTCATTGCAAGTTTATGGCTATGCAATACCCTCTATTGTTCCCATATGGGGAAGATGGCTTCCATAAAGATCTCAGGTACCGTCAATGTCAACGGTCAAGGGGTATTAAGAAGAAAAATGTCACCAAAGTTGAGTAATTTGCATATAGATTGCATGATAGAGCTGATGACTTTAGTACTCCTTTACGGTGCAAGAAATTGACTCAAGCCTATGTTGTTGATGGTTTTTGTTGCGTCGAGGATGGTCGCTTGAGCCATTACAGGGATGAGTCATTTCAGAAGAAATTTAGAGCTAGCCCATACAACTCTTTGGTTCAGGCTGTTAGCGCTGGCATTACAGAAGGATCTGCAGCAGGACAGAAAATTATTTTGCCAGCTTCATTTACTAGAAGTCCACGTTATTATTATCAAAACTATCAAGATTGTGTTGCACTTTGTTGTAGGTTTGGATGCCCACATCTTTTCATCACTTTGACATGCAACGCTTCATGGTCAGAAATAACACAAGCTTTAGCCCTCATTCCAAGGCAGCACTCCTCTGATCGACTTGATATTGTTGATCGTGTTTTCCAAATGAAGCTAAGAATATTTATAGATGACATAACAAAATACCAGTTTTTCGGTCCTATATCTGGAGGTAATTTCCATCGCTCCTTAATTTTGTCCACAATTTCTCATCTAACATGCCATTTTTTAAGATTTCTTTTATTTGGCCAATTTCGCCCTTCAATGATTCTTATTTGCTTCTCCTTTTTCATTTTTGTAGTTGTCTATACAATTGAGTTCCAAAAACGTGGATTACCCCATGTCCATATAATCGTATGGCTTGAAAAGGATGGGCCTCTTGATGTTGATTGGATTGATGCCTTCATATCTGCACAGCTACCGGACCCATCTGTTGATCGTATTGGTTATGAAGCTTCTCCAAGTTTATGGTACATGGTCCCTGTGGCAGTTCAAACAGATCGTCTCCTTGCATGAACGATGGAAAATGCAGTAAGTTTTATCCTAAAGAATTTATAGAGAAAACTATGGTGCTGCCCAGTGGGCGTGTTATATATGCTCGGCCAAATAACAACATTACCACAGAGAAAGGTTGGTGTAGATGTCGATAACAACTATGTTGTAGCCCATAATGTTGATCTCTTGGTTAAGTATCAAGCACACATCAATGTTGAGATTGTTAATCGTGATGGAATGGAAAAGTACCTATTCAAGTACTCAACCAAAGGTCCTGACTATGCTAAGATTGGGATTCGGGATAATGTTGATCTCTTGGTTAAGTATCAAGCACACATCAATGTTGAGATTGTTAATTGTGATGGAATGGAGAAGTACCTATTCAAGTACTCTGGAATGGAGAAGTACCTATTTAAGTACTCAACCAAAGGTCCTGGCTATGCTAAGGTTGGGATTCGGGATGGAGCCAATGAAATACTACAACAATATCTTGAATGGGATTCGGGATGGAGCCAATGAAATACTACATCAATATCTTGAATGTAGGTGTGTAACACCCTGTGAAGCTTCGTGGTGCCTACTACAATTTGGCATCCACTACATTGATCCATCTGTGGAGCGCTTACCTGTAGGTGTGTAACACACTGTGAAGCTTCGTGGTGCCTACTACAATTTGACATCCACTACACTGATCCATCTGTGGAGCGCTTACCTGTGCATCTCCCACTTTCATCTGTGGAACATCCACTACACTGATCCATCTGTGGAGCGCTTAATCCATCTGTGGAGCGCTTACCTGTGCATCTCCCACTTTCATCTGTGGAACATGATCCATCTGTGGAGCGCTTAATCCATCTGTGGAGCAGCCACTACACTGATCCATCTGTGGAGCGCTTAATCCATCTGTGGAGCGCTTACCTGTACATCTCCCACTTTCATCTGTGGAGCAGCCAAGCATGTGCGCACCCGGGAAGAATTTCCCGGTCGGTCACCCATCCCAAAATTGCTACAGGCCAAGCACGCTTAACCTCAGAGTTCTTTCAAGATCAGCTTCCGGAAAGGAAGTTGCAACTTGTTGGTATGAGTATTCTATTAATCCTATTAAGCCCTGAGCCAAATTGACTGCATGGTTTGATGTTAATAGGATATACCCACATGCTTACCAGCACACGTATGTGGAATTTCCTGAGTTTTGGACATGGCATGCTGATGGTAAATATTGGAAACAACGCTCTCAGAGCCATAAGGGTAAGGTTGGTCGCATTGCCAATGTTGGACCTAACCAGGGTGAGCGATTCTACTTGCGTATATTATTGCATGTTATCAAAGGTGCTCAATTTTTTTCTGATGTACGCATTGTTGGTGGCATTCAATACCCAACTTTTCAATCTGCATGCGAAGCAATGGGGTTACTTGGTGATGATCATGAATGGTCTCATGCTATCACTGATGCAGCACAGTGGGCGCTTCCATATCAACTTCGGCAGTTATTTGTCATGATGCTTCTGTTTTGTCAAGTATCAGACCCAGCCAAACTGTTTGACAATCATGTTCAGCTGATGGGTGAGGACTTTGCGTATCGTGTGTCCCAACATACACCTGGTATACATCAAACTATCATTCAAGAGCATATCAGATCATCCACCCTGGCTGAATTGGATAGATTGCTAAGAGATGTAGGATACACCTTGGATCATTTTCAGTTACCGCAACTAAGCCGTATTGCTTTTCCACCATTGGGAAATAGGCTTATAATGGATAAACTTGCTTATGGAACAACTGAGGTGAATGAACAAGTCAATCAATTAAATCCTGATCAGATGCATGTTTACAGTGCCATATAATACTCGGTTTTGAATAATTCTGGTCAAACATTTTTTATTTATAGATATGGTGGAACAGGGAAGACATTTCTATGGAATACCCTGTTGGCCAACATTAGAAACAAAGGGAAAATAGTCTTGGCAGTGGCATCTTCTGGTATAGTAGCTTTGTTACTTCCAGGAGGTCGTACACCACATTCACGCTTTAGGATACCTCTAGACATCCAGGAGGATTCTATGTGTGCTATTAAGAAGAACACCCATCTTGCTGAATTGATTCAACAAACATCTCTCATTATATGGGATGAGGCATCTGTCAACCATAGGCATTTCTTTGAAGCATTTGATCGCACCCTTAGAGATATCATGTCATCGATCAATCATGATTTAGTGAACATGCAATTTGGTGGTATAACAGTTGTCTTGGATGGAGACTTTAGGCAAACTCTACCGGTTATTCCTAATGCAAGAAAGCAACAGATCCTGAATGCCTCGATCACTCGCTCCCGCTTATGGAAAAATTGTGTGGTACTTGAATTAACTGAAAACATGAGGCTCAATTGTCCAACCTTTTCTCAGCAAGACAAGTTTAGGCTTGAGCTGTTTGCAACATGGCTTCTATCTTTAGGTGATGGTGTTGTCCATGATAGTGCACCCACTGATCGACCAGACGCCACTTGGGTGGAGATTCCATCATATCTCTTACTACCGGCTAAAGAAAGGAACCTTGCATGTTTGATTTCTTTTGTGTATGATTCAATACCGCATCTATCACAGCTACCAACCTACTTATGTGAACATGCAATTTTGGCACCAACGAATGAGATTACTGCTGCTATAAATGCACAAATTATTAGCCACACAGCCACTGAAGAAATGTCATACTATAGCTTTGATACCATTGATGATGCCACACCAAACTACTGCAATGTGCAGTCCCTTTATCCTGCAGAATTCCTCAATACAGTACACATGAGTGGTTTGCCGGATCACCATTTACAGCTAAAGATTGGTGTCCCCATCATGCTTCTTAGGAATCTAGATCCATCAAAGGGCTTATGTAATGGAACCCACCTCATTGTAACATAGCTGACTCATCGTATAATTGAGGCCCAAATAATTACAGGAAAATGTAAAGGATCAAAGGCTTATATTCCAAGAATAGTCACTACTTTGACTGACTCAAAATGGCCTTTCATGATAAAGCGCAGGCAGTTTCCAATCCGTATTTCATATGCCATGACGATCAACAAAAGCCAAGGGCAAACACTAAGTAAAGTTGGTGTGTATCTACCAAGCCCTGTTTTTTTCACATGGGCAACCGTATGTTGCTTTCTCACGTGTAACATCACCTCAAGGTCTTCGAGTCCTCATTGAGAATAACATGCCTGGGTATGAATCTAAGACACATAATGTCGTGTATACGAAATATTCACTGATATCGCGAATCAATGTGCTTAATTTTACCAGGTATTCTCATCACTATCTTCCTATGTTTATCTTGCATTGATTGGTCTAACAACTATATTTTTTCAACAAATGCAGATTTCACTAATTCCAAACTGTAGTGCATGCTGCCCAAAATCATCAAATTCAGAGATATATGTTGTGTTATGCTTCTTCCGTGTGGTTGTATGTTCCCACTGTGCTGTGCACTTCTTCACCTAAAAGCAAAGGTAATTTCCATTTCAAGTTTATATTAGTTGATCTCCCCTTGGATATACATAGATTCATCCTTTCTGTACCCTTATGTCATATGGTCTCTAGCTCTGCATCGAATGGCAGGAAATATTGATGCATATATTTTTCCCCCTTCCTCTAAATTGCTTACTACTATAAATGTAAATGAAAAAAAAAGTACATTCAGTTAAAAAGTTGTACCTCCACATACACACACATGAAAAAAAGGGTAGTTCTATTAACAGTTTTAATTCTCAAAGCACACTATAGTATGTGCTATTTACTCTCATTTCACTTTCAGTTCACTGAAGCAGAATATGGATAATTATGTATGTATGCTGAGCTAGCGTAGTATAGTTTAGAACAACTTCTGTTGTTTTACTTTGCCAAGACTTGCAACTTTAATTTTATCATATTGCCTTTTTTTTTCAAACACAACCGAACACATTCTTCTTTGATTATTTCGCAGTAATATCATACAATTCTACTTGATTCCCTTTTTTCACATGGTCATGCAGGTTGATCAGGTTATTTATCGGTGCCATCTATTTGTTGTTATCCTGGTAATCTACTATCGATGCAGAGTTGCAAATGACAACCAAACCAGGAGGCTGATCATTATCGTTTCCTTTCCTTCATTCAGTTACAATGCTAGAGACTTTTCCATGTTTGTTGCTGCGTGTACCTCTCTATGCAGCGCACTATGCAAGATCATTAGATTGTAAATGCTACCACCAGTATGCACACGCTTGGTCTATGATGGTGATGTTATTATGCCTATGATGTATTTTGTGATGTGTGTATTGAGATGTTGCAAATCCTGTTCATCTGCCAATATTATTGACACGCCATATGCATCAGTAAACTAAGATGCTATTACCAATGTTCATGACTCCAGGCACATCTAATTTTGCTATATTTTACTCCTATACATTTGTAATGTTTAGGTTATCTACACAATTCTTATTTTACCAAAAAAAATTGTATTGTATTTGATGATGTTTCTTCGTCATTTACGGTTTTTATTGGGTCTGCGGCATTGCCGCGGGGGTACAATCTAGTATATATTATACACTAGATGAAGCAGTATTAGTTGTTCCTGCATTGCTCATCAATAGCAAAGGAGGCGAGGCCGGGGCGATATGGCCACCCACGGCCACGGTTATCCGCGGTACGCACACACGAATCCCTCCCGTACCTGCCCTACTACTTCCTGGCTGCATGTCCTATCCAATCCAGTAGCTACCACTAGCTACTTCCTCCAAGCCCTAGTGCGCATGGATCGATTGCCTGCTTGTGTGGATATTTGATTTCTCGCTTATACTCGCTTCCATCGATCGCCTATTGCGGCGCCTGCCTGCCTTGCTTGCGGAATTGGCCGGTTTCAATTTTGCTTGATCGTTTGCAGATTTATGCTGCTTGTGTTGTTAATTAGTGTTCGTACGTTCGTTCATTTCATCAATTTTATTTTAATTTGCTTCTTGTTTTCTCTCGTGTTGCTGTTGGTTCGGTTGTTTTAATGTGTTTTGCTCGATGATCTTGTTTGCTCGTGTTGCTATTAGTCAATATACTATTACATGACTATATATGGAATATATAATCCATCATCGATCGACCGATTGCTAGCTTGCCACTTGCACAACTATTTAGTTGGTTGGTGTTTTATTTTGTGAATTAGCGTATTATATTCGTTCTTTCCATCGATAATGATCTGATCACTTGGATAGGTTCGTTTAATGTTTCGCTCACTCTAATTTGATTTGCTTGCATTGCGCATTGTTGATCGAATCTGCGAGTGATGGAATCCACCTGGCCGTGTGCACGCTCTCAAATCGCAGTGTTTTTGTTAAATACAATTTAGTTAATTAGTAATTACTGTTATATGCTCGCTGCTATAGGCTATAGCTGACATCCTTAGTTAATTGTAGTTTAATTTAATTTGGGTGCTGGATATATATGTGTGCATCTAATCGCATGTAGAAATTTGATCAATCGCACTGCTGTTTGATTGCTCCTGTTCATTCATGTGCTATATATATGCATGCTCCATTGAGCAATTGGCGATCAATTTGTTCCTGTTTGGCTAGTTGCATCCGATCCTTGGTTCCTTACGGTGCTTGATCGGCGATCAATTTGTTCCCTGCTGTCTAATCCTTACAGTGCTTGCATTCTTATATTAAACAAATTAATTTGATTATTTTTGGATCATGTTTCATGCTTATGTTAGTATGCATTAGACTACAGACACAACTATAATTAAATTAAGATTGTGTTTGTTAGAGCAAGTTGGGAATTTCCCCCGCTGGCATGGAAAATAAGATAAATCATTAGCATATGATTAATTAAGCATTTGTTAGAAAAAAAACTTTAAAATAGATTAATATAATTTTAAAGTAACTTTTCTACAGAAAATTTTTGTACAAAATGTATCATTTAACAATCTGTAAAGCGTGTGAAAAACGAGAAAGTAGAAGATGAAAAAAGTGACTTCTGAACATAGCATGGTTGCATAGAAGTTATATACCGGAGTACTCTCTCTTGTATAAATATATAATGAGATATATTTAAGTGTTACAAATTTATGTTACATTGAGATTTGTACCATGATATCTCTATATAATCTCGGTTTATACCCTGGGTATCATGGCATCTTCATGAAATTTGATTTTATATTTATGATTACTGAATGATACTACACTGATACTTGATGATATTATGGATATCATGTAGAGGTGTCATGGAGCATCATGAATGAATTGTATCACCCAATGTCAAGCATTATCATCAAGGTATCATAGAGATTCATGAAAAATCTCGCGGGCTCATATGAAAAGGTAGAAACTCACAACCAAAAATAGAAAATCAATAAGAAAAACAACTCTATTCTACCATGCGGATTATGCTATCTACATACAAATTATGATGTTGTTACACAATGAATTTCAATGATACCAATCTGATACTTGAAGATTTCATGGTATATATCTTTGTGATAATCATTGATACGTATTACTCCATCCGTTCCAAAATATAAATATTTTTTAGTATAGTGTCAAGTCAAATATTTTTTACTTAGACTATTAATTGCAAAAGAAAAAGATCAATCATGTAAAATAATATTACTATATTTATCATTAAGCAAACTATCATAATATGCAAACTCTTTTTATTTAAAACATCTTATTTTTATTTTTATAGATATTGTTGGTCGTAACATCTCGAATATTGTATCGAAGTCAAGAAATCCTTATATTTTTTTGATGGGGGAGTATTATATAAGGGTATAGTTGAGTACCATGAATAAACCACAATTATCATCGTATATCAAGCAATATCATCAAGATTATATAAATTGGCGGAAAATCTCGGTGAGTGTCGAATGAAATTTAAGAGAGAAACACACACACACAAATCTCAGCGTGTGGTACACGCATGCACTTAGATTTACACGCATGCACTTAGATTGACCGCCACCTCATCACTCCACGTTTCAAAATTTCATTATTCGTGTAAAACAATTATTGCATAAGAAACCACTGGAATTGCAAAGATACAACTTCAACACTATACTTCTTGATATTATTTTCTTATATGTATTTAGACTAGTATACTTTTCCCGTTCTCAAATACTACTTGTCGGTGACTGGCAATATTTTTTTAAAATACATAAACTATGATTTATTTATTTTTCTGAACTAGGGCCCGAAACCCCCTTTCCATTAATGGAACGGTAGAAAATAAAGGTCTTAATACAAAATAGATAAACTATGATGAACCAAAATGCAATCTTTATGTTCAGGATGCAAAGCACTTTGATAGTACATTTTTTACAAAAGACAAACAAAGTATTTATATTTGTTTTTATAGAAAGACAAGGGTTTTAATTAATACAGACATTGTCCTGTGACAATTACTTCTCCTTCCTCAAATATAAGAATAGCTAACATTCGAAATTTCTCAACAAATACAAATACAAATATAAGGATTCTTAAAATACCACTTGGGGTGTGTTTAGTTCTTTGGGTGTAAAGTTTTTAAAGTATACGGACATATATTTGAAGTATTAATCATGGACTAATAACAACACAAATTACAGATTCTGCCTGTAAACTACGAGACGAATTTATTAAGTCTAATTAATCCGTCATTAGCAAATATTTATTGTAGTATCACATAATCAAATTATGGCATAATTAGACTTAAAAGATTCGTCTTACAATTTACATGCAAACTGTGCAATTGTGTTTTTTTCTCACATTTAATGCACCATGCATGTGTCCACATATTTGACGTGACGTTTTTGACCCTTTTTTTTTTGGATTCATTGGTCTTATTTACCAACCCTCGTTCAGTTTTCTTCCTCATCTTATCACCAACTTTCATTATGTGGTGTAGTATTTTTGCCTTCATCCTTATACTCTCAAAATTATAGGAATACTAATATTTGTGAACGAAGGTAGTATTTGGGAACAAGACTACAAGATTTTAACATGACAGTTTAAAACATGAAAAATTAATGCCAAAGTACAAGGCAGTAACTATGCCCGAAGCAAATGCCAACGTGTTTATCTACAACATAGTAGCATAAACGAGACCAGACACTAAAACTAAACAAATATACTGAGCTGAGGAAAGATAGACCAGGCTCTCAAAACTTCATCTGGCACCTGAAAACTGTACACAGTACTATCGTACAACATTTCGAATGACTACATGCCCAACATTGGCATCAAAATTTGTAGTCGTTAATAAATATCGACTGCCAATTTTTATCTGCAAAATTACCCCTTAAATGCAAAGAAACGGCTATTTTCTACTCCTGACGTGATCAACTGTAAGTACCCGTTTTTTCAACACCTAATCTGAAGCTAATTTATGCCTCACGCCCTCTTTCTCATGATTGTCTTTCTTGGCTCCTTTTTTATCGGCGCAGCCGCAGAACCTAGGGTAGTCATTCCCACAGCACTTTGGTACAAGTCTTTTAGCCTAAAAGCATCAATGTCATATCAGTTAAAACAACTCCTATGATCATAATGGCTTCAAGTTAGAACAATGAAATTTACAGTGATAGAGCAGGAACCTTGGCATGCTGATGACCAATGCAATCACGGAAACTCCGACAATAAGAGGAAATACAGGGGCTGGAGTTAATTCCTGCACGAAAAAGAAAATTTTATCATATCCTGAACAGCCACAGTGCAATTAGCTTAGGAAAAACATAATATCTGGTACAGGACGTGTACAAAGATTTATTTGTGCTGATTAAATAACCTTAATATCAGTACATATTGGTGCTGATTAAATGAGAACCTTAATATCAGTATAGCTATCTCTAGAAATAACAGCAACTTATGGATTTAATCATTAGATTTCAAGGTTAGAAAACATAAGCAAATCAGTGTAAACAAAATTATATCACAGTGTTCAAGCTTGTGTAAGAAATTACCTGTTTGTGATGTCGCTCTTCGGTTTTATATTTAAGAGGACCAACATGAATCTGAGGTTGCTTGTCCAAGTCAACTTCAACTATCTCTGACTCAAATCTATGGGTATGTGATGGAAGACCAGAACGAAGCTGAACAAGATGCTTTCCTTTTGGCAAATTCTGTACTTCGAAGTAGTACGAGAGAGGAACAGGGAGTACAGATTCTATTCTAGAAGGGTCTGCAGCTGATCTAATTTCAACAGACAGTTGTGGTTGCAACATGTCAAGATCATCTCCTTCCACATGGCCACTCAAAATTGTTGATTCCGGTCTTTCAAAAACAACAAAATCAATACCAGAGATGTCATCCTGACCAACCTGTTTATGCAAATTGTTGATGAGCATACATGATTTTGGAATACAGGTAGTCATTCAAAAACGTTTTTACTGACACA